CCCCCTCTCCTTCACTTCCTCTCTCTCCCCTTCTTGGCTCCTCAGGCACCTCTCCCACCTCCCTCTTTCTCCCTCTCTCCCCATCCCCTCCCCCTGTTTCTCTCTCTCCCCCTGTTTCTCTTTCCCCCCGCACCATATTCCCCCTCCTTTCTCTCTCTTCGTCCTTTCCTCTCCCTCTCCTCTCCCTCCCCCTGCTGCTACAGCCTCAAGATCTCTTGCAGGCCCTGCTGGAGGACAACGTTCCTCCTTCTCTCGCTCATCTCGACCGATCCTCCAAGATCGCAGACATGACGCACAAGAAGGTGGAGAAGAAGACGGCGAGGCTCCTCCCTCCTCAGAGTGCGGAGCTGCGGGCAGGGATGGAGGAGATCGACCTGCTCGCCAGCCAATTCAAGTTTGAGAGGAGCCGAGTGAAGGGAACGAGAGAGGAGGAGAAGCTGAGCGAGGAGGAGGCTGATGCTCTCAGGCAGAAGACAAAACATCTTATCAAGCTCCAGGTCCGCACTAGTATCCTGTCCTGTCCTGTCCTGTCCTGTCCTGTCCTGTCCTGTCCTGTCCTGTCCTGTCCTGTCCTGTCCTGTCCTGTCCTGTAGTTTTCTTTCCTCTCCTCTTCTTTCCTTTCTTCGCTATCCTCTGCTCCACTCATTTTCCTCCGCTCATCTTCCTCCTCAGCACCTGGACGAGCTCAGAGAGGAGATTGCTCTTGCGGAGGCAGCAGTCGCCGCGGGCCGGCAGGATGCTGAGGATCGAGCAGCCAGGGCCCGGGCGAGGCTGGAGGAGGAGGAGGCAGCGCTATGGAGCCAACGAGAAGACGCGCATCAGTACGAAGACGAGTACGATGACGCGTTCGAGGCGTTCGCGTCCTTGGACATGGGAGAAGGGCTAGCGGAGACGGAGGGGAGGAGGAGGCAGAGAGACGCGGGCGGAAGGAACAAGGTGAGTCGAGTCAGGCTTGCCCTTTTTCCTGCCTGACTGTTGTGCAAAAGGAGGAGGAAGGGGAGGAGGAGGAGGAGGAGGAGGAGGAACTATTCATGGGGATCGAGCGTAACGTCAACCGCGAGGTCGCATTCTTCATTTCACATCCTGTTCTTCCGACTCCCTCCCTTTCACTGACATCGGTCACTGGTACAGGGAGCTGAGGACGAAGACGACGACGAGGAAGCACGAAATGCGGTCCCAAGGGGCAGGGGCAGGGGCAGAGGACGAGGAGGCGCAGGAAGAGGCGCGGAGGCAGCGTCGGCAGGAGCATCGCAAGAACAGAAAGCCAGCAGGGGAAGAGGATGGGGAAGGGCTAACGCCCGACTGACGAGGTGAGGGGACAGGGAGAGTGGGGACGTTGGGACTGAGCTTTCGCGGTTGCAGGAGGAAGGAGGAGAACAAGAGCGCGGTATCCAACCATCACCGCAAGGATCGAGCAGCGAGGAAGATGAGGCTCGCTGGCATGCCTGCATAGAACCTGCTGCTGCTATTTTTCTTGTTCCTCATGATCAGCCGATGATCCAACTGAGTTGCCGTACCGCTTGCCTCACTCAATCCCATCAAGTTGAACTGGCAACCGGGTTGGCAACCGTGATCGGACCCGGGCCTCAGGCACGGGTCCGGGCCGCGAGATCCGGCAGACTGAGGCGAGTCACTGAGCCCGGCGGCCTCTGATCGGACGCCTGAAAGACTCGGCCCGGAACTTCCGCCCGGGGATTTGCGTTACTTCAGTTATTCCCACTGGACGTAGAAAATGGCGGCGTTGAGGAAGGGAAGGGAAGAAGGGGAAGAGGGATAGAGGAGCGAGGAAGAAGAAACAGAAACAAGCATGCAAGGATTATACGCTATGAGTCTGTGTGAGACCGACGAGATAGATTAGTATAAATCTGTGAAGAAAAGATTGAGAACACAAATAGGTTCAAACTGAACACAAACCGGCTTATCAAACATGTCCGTCCCATGCAATCCTGATGCCATGAACTGTCTTTTCCTCGCAATCAATCACTTGCTTGTGTGATATATTGAGTTCACAGTCGCTCTTCTGCTTTGCGTTCCTTATACACCTGTTGTTCATTGGTTTGTCCATGTTGTAGCCACTTTGTGCAAGCAATGCACTTTACCTGACTGTGTCCTGCAGTTGCTGCTTTTTCAAGATGTCGCATGTTTCTGATCTCCGCCCAATGCCTGGTCCCGATTCTGCCTTCATATCGAAACCGACCAAGTTTGAAGGCATCAAGGTCTAAGAAAAATCTCTTGCTCACCACGTTCTCACCGATTGCTCAGGTTGAGGCGCCAAAGGTGTCGCACTCTGGCAAAGTCGACATGACAGAAGATGACGGTGACATTTGGCTCAAGGGAGCTTGCATCGCGCAAGTGAAGTGACTCCTGCCTCTTTGCAGAGAATTTAAAACGTCTGCTTCAGAAGACTCGATGTGTAAACTGCACCAAGATGTTTGTGGTAGATGACAACAACGACGAAGCTTGTCATTACCATCCAGGTGGCCTTTGCTCTTGATCGGCTCACAGGCAATTAGGCTGAACGTTCCATGAAGGTCCAACTCAAACCGCTCTCCGCAACCAGAACCATCTCGATCGCATTATCTTCCACTGCTGTGGTGGAGAACAGGTTGGTTTCTCGCCGGTTCTCTACGAATGCCCTCCTTGCAAAGTAGGGAGACACGTGTCGGCCGAGGAAAAGGAAGATCAACAGAAAGCTGGAGCGAAAAAGGTGAACAAATGTCTTGTGTTTTCTCACTATGTTGAGCATACCTTTTCAGTGACGAATCCGGGAGAGCATTATCAGGGTCAGAGAATTCAAAGCTTTAATTTTAATTTGCTTGTATGATCATCTTACTTGTTTCGTTGTTGAGAAGTGCCACACTCTGAAGCTTAGTGTACAGAAGATAAATGTGTGAAAACAATGAGAAGCAATAGAGAGTGCCTAAATGTGACTCTGTTATGCTGATCCCGAAAAGATGAACGCAGTTCTCTTCCCATGCTTGAAGCTTTCATACGTTGTCCTGCCCCATGCATGCTCGTGCAGGAAGTCTCCTTCTCTCACTCCCTCCAGCCACGTTCCCTTCAAGTACTCTCGGCTTCCGTCTTCTAAATAGAGCAAGTCATATGGCCCAAAGCACATGCACAAAAGAAAATCACAAATCGCAAAAGAAACAAGATTTATAAAAGAAGGGCCAGGAGCTACCGTAGTTGAGGTGCGCGATTCCAGGGCCATGGCGAACTCCTTGCTTCCACTATCAACGGATGTCATGAAATCTGCACAAGTAAGGCAATGCAGCGGAAAGACTGAAGAAACATGAGGTGGAGACGAGAGATCGTTACCTTTCCAACAAAGGTCTCCCTCATGGATGGGGAGCCATGCTTGCCAACCTCACTGTACGTTCCATCTCCATGGAACTTGCCATCCCTGAAATCACCTTCATAGCAACTGCCGTCCGCAAAGAAGTAAACACCTGTTCCGTGAAACTTCCCATGATGAAACTCTCCCTCATATCGAACCCCATTAGATGCATCAAGGGTTCCCCGCCCATGCTGAGTACCTCCCTTGAATTCCCCGCTGTACACAAACTCCACCCCAACATCCGTGAACGTCAACTGCCCATGGCCATCCATCTTGTTGTTCACGAAGTTCCCAACAAAGTTACAACCACTCTTCCCAGCATACTTGTAGACACCATGTCCCTCTCTTCTGCCCTCTTGGAACTGTCCCTCGTACTCATCGCCGCATCTGTGCCGGTACCTCCCCACACCATGAGGTTTGCCAAGTACAAAATTCCCTTCAAACTCGTCCCCATCGTGAAACTTTTGTGTTCCTTTCCCATCTTTCATCCCATTCCTCCACTCCCCCTTGTACGATCCGCCATCGCTGTATGTTCTCCTTCCTGACCCGTTGACGACCCCGTTGTCGAACTCTCCCTCGTATTCACCGAACGGTGAAGCATGCTTGCCCACTCCCTCTCGCCTTCCTTCAACCATGCTGCCATCGTATACCGAGTTGCCCATCAGAGGCAGGACAAACTTTCCTCCTCCTCCCACGCCTCCCCTGCTCCTCCCCGCGTCCCCATTCCTCATGCACAGTCCTCGAAGCACGGGGCCGCGGTGCGCCATCGTTCAAAAATAATTCAAAACTTTCGTCAGACTCGCCTCAGATCATCTTCCTACCAATCTGAAGGGCAGTGATACAAACATGGCCCAAGAAGGTCGCTGCATTGTCCTCACGTTCCACCCCCGCCTCAGAGGTACCGAACTTGTGCAGAGATACGGGAAGGGGAATTCGAGTGTCATCATGGCCAAGAGGTCAGGAGCCAGTCGTCGCACAAGAGCTGGTGGGACCAAAGGTGCTTGTCTCCCCTTCTCTCCCACCTGGAAGACGCAGTCCGAGTCTCTCCTCGTCTTCAGACCAGGCTTCAGGATCAGCTCGAGATTGAGGAAGAGGATCCTGCGTCTGGACCAGGATGGATAGGGCAGGTGGGATAGCACATGAGAGCGACAGGGCAGCCGCCATAGACAAGATTGATAGCGAATTCGACAGTCAAGCATCTGAATTCAGACTCAGATAGCTGACAGTACTCAGACATTCAATCTGGTTCCTCTCTGAAGCAAGGGATCGAGACAATTGATTTCCGTACTCGGGGAGGGGATGCAGAAGTAAATCGTCAACGAGGCAGAGCAATCACGTGGTCAGAGCATTATCTTCCGATATGTGCAAGCTATAGCCATGCTCGTTGATTCCGAACCCCAATCTATGATTGTTTTGCTGGTGAAAAGGCATGACCGCAAACGCATGGTTTCGAATTCCCTTCTCGCCCCTCACATTCCCTACACATAGACGAATAGACCATTCTTGTTGTAGTCAGGGAGCGAGATATGATATCTTGGAAATCTTGAACTTGTGCAAGATGAGATGCCGTCATTGTTTCCCAGAGTTCGCACGCCTGCATGTCAATTTGGGTTGAATCTAGAGGAGAAGACAAGGACAAAGGTCGAGACGAACTCTGAGACATTCAAGGGACTAAGAATGCATGGGCTCGAACAATCATCATGGAATGCTGGGGTCCAGTTACTGTTTTCGAGCAACAAAAATACATCACACAACCGTCATCCTGAAGGTGAGAGCCTGGTCTTCGTAGATTCATTGGGAAGCAGCGAGAAATTAACATTTGCCCATCAAACTGGTACAGAAGAGATATCAATGACCTCTTGCAATGGAAGATTCAAGCCACGGATGAGTCATCAGCTCTTGTATAATTGGCCTTGAGACTTTTGATCTTTAATCTCAAGCAAAAGTTTTAAAGTATTGAGCTTTACTTGTAACGCAACCGAAAATCCTCTCTTCCGATTTCGATACAATCTTGACAGCATGCACCCTCACAGCCTGATTTCCTCCCCTGTCGCCCCTACCACCACCGGTCGATCCTCCTGACTCAGCAGCTCAATGCAGTGCGCTAGCGCCCTCAGCTGCCTCCTCCGGTACTCCGAGGGCGAGAGAGTGTCGGCAGAGAGATGGCAGGGCTTGAGGTCAGAGGATGCGGCAGCCTTGAGGGGAGGCGACGTGACGGGGAGCAGGCCAAGGCAGTCTGAGAGGAGATCGGCTTCGTCATCGCCGCAGGAGCTTGCGGAGAGGGAGTCGGAGGTGGGCGAGGAGGGGCAGTCGCCGTGGAACTCACAGGGTGAGTCGATAAGGGTGAAGGGATGGCAGTAGTGCATGTTGGTAGTAGCGTCAGACGAAGAGAACGAGAAGGAAGCAGGTTGGGAGTAGGAGTAGGAGTAGGAGCAGGGGTAGGAGCAGGGGTAGGAGCAGGAGCAGGAGTAGGAGTAAGAGTAAGAGTAGGAGTAGGAGTAGGAGTAGCAGTAAGAGTAGCAGTAGCAGTAGCAGTAGCAGTAGTAGCAGTAGTAGCAGCAGTAGCAGTAGCAGTAGTAGTAGCAGCAGCAGTAGTAGTAGCAGTAGCAGTAGTAGCAGTAGCAGTAGTAGCAGTAGCAGTAGCAGTAGCAGTAGCAGCAGTAGGAGCAGGGGGACGTAGCGAAGGATCGACGGCGCTCGGCGACAAAGGCAGGGAGCAACTCGACAACTGGACTCATCAACAAGTCGGGAGAGAAGGTCGCAGTTCTCGTTTTACTACAGGTACGTCGGAGAATTCCGAAGTTCCGGGAAGTGACTCAATGAGGCCCCCGAATCATGGTCATGGCCCCTTGCCAGTTAAATGTTTTAGTTAACGCCGGGATAGCGCCAGTTAAACGTTTTTGAGGATTTTAACTCTGGCAGTACCTGATTGTCCTCGTGACTGATTTTTAACTTAACTTTCGAGTAAAAGTTGAAGAACTTTGAGTAACTTTCATAAAGGGAGGCTAGGTGAGACGGAGTCGAGGCCGCTCACTGCGGCGAGGCCGCTGGGCCGCCGCCGGCCCGTCACGTGACAGCCAGTGCTGAGTGGGCCCGGGGCGCCGCGGCGGCCGGAATCTCACTGTCAGTCAGATTACCGAGTCACACTGTGCCAGTTTACTGGGCAAATCCTTCAGTGTCATGATGCACCGCGGAATGTTCCGAGCCCGGAAAGCAAACCGATTTCCGCTTCAACAAACCGAATTGAAACCAGGTCTTTTCGATCTGATGACATAATCTGCGAAACGTCACTGTCAGGCTCAGAGGGCTGTAACTGAGTTTACCCTCATCCCCTTACTACACTATTGCCAAGAATCGGAACTTTATGACCCCTTCATGGCCCAAAGATACATAGCTCAAAAGGGGGGGTAGGGTTCACAAGAATAGAAACGCCTTCTTCTTGGCGGGTAGTAAAGAAAGGAACAAACAGGCCGGACCCTACCCACCTGAGGGCCTCCATTCCAGTGGGCAATCCACCCGTACCCGTGGATGGCCCCCATTCCTGTGTCAAGATAAGCCCCACCGCAGGCAAAGTACTTTCATCCACCTTCCCTTCCATGGTCTCCGACCGTCGTCGATCCTTCCCTTTCTCCTCATCCGATCATTGTCAGTTCTGTCTCGATCAGCCCTCCTTCTCTTCCCTCTCCTTCTCCGACTCCCTCTCCGAAAGCTCCTGCGGCGATGACGAAGCCGATCTCCTCTCAGACTGCCTTGGCCTGCTCCCCGTCAGGTCGCCTCCCCTCAAGGCTGAAGCATCCTCTGACCTCAAGCCCCGCCATCTCTCTGCCGACACTCTCTCGCCCTCGGAGTACCGGAGGAGGCAGCTGAGGGCGCTAGCGCACTGCATTGAGCTGCTGAGTCAGGAGGATCGACCGGTGGTGGTAGGGGCGACAGGGGAGGAAGTCAGGCTGTGAGGGTGCATGCCGTGGCATGAGGGAGAAGAGAAGAAGAATGTATACTAGTATGAGCACACGATGAATGATCACGACATGCGCAAGAGACCGAAGGAGGTGGTGTAGTGTAGCCACAGTAAAATGTTGTTGAAAGTAAAGGTGCTCCAAAAACAAATCCAATGTTGTCTTGCCGCCCTCCCCACAAGCTGAGCGAGATCCTGGAGGCTCCTAGGCAGAGAAATCGGAAGAGGACGTGTCGGTGATTGAGTCCGAGTAGATCATCTGACTGAGGCTCGAGCTGTCATCACCGTCGCTGAGATCGATGCGAGCGGACGTCCTGGAGAAGAAAAGCGTCAGGGCCATGAGATCTCGCCTGTGTTCGCAGACTGACCTCATGCCCCTTTTGGCCTCTCGAGCTGCCTTTCTTTTCAGGTACTCAGGGTTCTCACCGACACCTTTCGAGATGTGGTCACTCGTTGAAAGCACTTTCGTCATCATCATCGTTAACATCCTCGTTAACATCATCCTCATCGTCATCCTCAACATTATAATCATCATCATCATCATCATCATCATCATCATCATCAGCAGCAGCAGCAGCAGTGAATTTCCGCCAATATCAACGTCATCCTTATCATCACAGTTACCGTATAGGGGGCATTTCTTGCACCCTCTTGAAGGGCAGTTATTGCATCGCATTTCTCCAGAGCGCATGATCGAAGCTTTTGATTCCGCTGCAAGAACACCATCACACCTTTATCGCCATCTCCTTCGCTCATTGTTGTCAACCTGCCCCTTCCTTTCTTGAGAAGTAGCCTCCTGTCGTCTGATACTCGATGAAGTTTCCTCCCACCAGCCTTGCAGCCGGATTGATCACCTGAGAAATCGCTCGTCAAGATGGGCAAGATGGGGGGGGAGGGTGAGAGGTAGGGATTTGAAGAGATGTGAAAATAGCAGGAAAGGTACAGAAAGGAGGAGACTAGAAATCAACATTGAAGGATAGAAAATGGAAAAGACAGCGATGTAGAAGAATTCTTTGCACAGGCACAAAGGGAGAGAAGAATAGCAAGTGTGACTTACAGTATACTTCCTCTCGGTCTCTAGCGCAACCAGGTCATCCCACGACACGTACCAAATGCTGAATGCGGCAGTTGAGAGGATGAAGGGACCCAAGGGAAGAGACAAGGAAACTAATAGTGATCACGAACAAGCTCACCAGTCTACAGGGCAAGTTGCCACTGCCTCCGCAATCGTATCCTCGCTGTCTCCTCCCTTGTGTTCATCAGTCAGAAGCTTTCCGGAAAGAGCACAAGAACGAGCAAACGGGAAGGAGGGATGATGAGTAGAGATGAGAGTAGAAGAGAAGAAGGCATAGCACTGAAAGAAAGCTTGCCTGTCTGAAAGCTCTGGCTCTGCCATACATCTGCTCCATGAAGAAAGTACTCCTTGCAACCTGCAAGACCCTCATTCGTCGCTCTCGACCGCTGCGTCATCCGGTGACTCACGGTGGCACAGTTGGTACACCCGATGCAAGTCGCCTCGTCAACGTATACAAATCTGTCAAGAGCTGCACCAGCACCAACACATCAACTTTCATGCATGTGCTCAAACACAGCGACAACCAGGATATCCATCCTCGTCAAACTGCACAGTTGTGTGCGAGTCTCTCTCTCCATCCGCATTGTCTGAGAAGACGTCCAATTTCTTATCTGCAGAGTACATCAAAAAGTCGTTTTGTCCTCTTGCAGGCCGGCTGCTTTCACTGCCAACAAGACTCTACCTGCCGTCTTCTTCAACAGCTTGCTAGTCTCCTTCTCAGAATCCAAGAATGCCCTGCACCACCGTGTTATACACTCTTCACGACTCACGTCCCACTGCAACACCTCTCCGAGATCCCAAGAAAGTCAGCAGGTCTGTCCCATGTGGTTTCCTGTGTCTTCTTGTTCCAATAATAGACTCTCTTGGTCGTCTCGTCCACCACCATCTCCCACTTGCTGTCTCCAACCGGCTGAGGCGCCACCTCTCCTTCCTCCTCACTCGTCTCGCTCTGCGGGCAGAGCTCAGTCGCAGACTACCAGCGTGCTCCTGCCTTCACCGAGTCCGTCGTAATCTTCGACAGCAGCGAGATCTCCTCCTCGTCATCCAGAGACCTCGTCAAAGTGGTGGTGCTGTAGGCACTGACCCTGCTCCTCCTCAGGACGACACGAGAGCACAGCAAGGCATCGGCACACCTGCTCTCCGAGCTCTGCGACTCGTCTACAACAAGTTCATCCAGGAGAGTGAGCCCGTCTCCTGCCTTCTTCATCTGCAACGGCACGCTCAACACTACATCGCCTGCCTCCCCCCCTGCCCCCCCCTCTCTTGTCTCCCTCCCTCTCTACCCCTCCCCCCTCCCCCTCCCCCTCCCCCACTGCCGCCTACCCGACATGGCTGACTCACCTGGACAGACAACCTCACGGAGCCTGTGAGAGGCTTCAAACAGGCCGAGAGCTCCTTCCCGTTGACCGAGAAGAACACTCCATCTCCATCGATGGACACAGTGAGCTCATCGCCGGCCCTCAGCGGCGCCTCCCCTTCATGCACCAACTGCAATCCTGTCAATCCTCCAGTTCAACTGCCCCCCCCCCTCCGACCAGGTACCTCTCCTCCGTTGTACAAGTTTCCATTGTGAGTGATGTAGAACGCTTCGTTGAAGTGCTCGGGGTCTCGCCAGCTGGAGTCAAGGTCCACTTTCAACGATGTCAGCCCAACGCTCATCGTGCCCTGCAGCTCCGCTATCCTCAGCTTCCACTGCACGTATCCTCCCGGGCCGTACGCGTTGAGACCCCTCGCACTCTTGAGTGTCTCGGACGCCCCGTCTGTCACCCAGACTGTCTTTCCCTGGGTTGCGAGCCCAGAGTGTAAGAATGGCCAACGTTTGACATCATCGGAGTTCTCCTCCAAGTCAAGTGATGACATGAGCCTGGCGTTCGATCTGCTCATGATGTTCTGCATCTTGTCAGCAATGCTCCTATACATATCTGCTCCTGTCGTGTTCCCCATGGACTCTTCTTCCTCCGCCATTTTGAGGAAAACCTGCATGTCATCCTTTCGGAAGGACACCATCCCGCTGGTTCCCTTTCCTCCTTCATCTTCGGGTCGTGAGGATACAGATCGCTCGGACTCAGCCTGTCTGTCCGTCATTTTGAGTTGGATACCAGTCCTGGACACGCCTCTCCCGCACTGCACATGACGAGCTGCCAGCCTTTCCCGCCTTGCTGTATTTATGACCCATCTCTCACTGCGGGAGAGGAGGGAGGAGGGGGATCTTGGGTGATTGAGCATGGATGGAGAATAAGAGGCAGGAAATGGAGAGCAGAAGAACATGGAAGCGTCCAGAGCTCGAGGAGGAGCCACCAGGCTCGAGCACATCGCAACCTGCAACGCGACTGCGCACCACCGCGCTAGCATTATTGTTGTTGTGGTACCTGTTAGCAAGCTACGAGGGAAGGGGTTCACGAAGGAGGGGTACCTCACACCACAAAGAGAAATTCACCGGTGAACAAAATAGTCAAATACACCGGTACACGATATGATGGGTCATGAAACTTTGTGGGGGTGGGTAGGGTAGCGAGTGTGAGTAATGGGTAGACCCCCAAGGGGGCAGAGATTCACTAGCGACCCTCGTAAGCGTCGACACTCTATGTCACTATTGCTGCCCTCCGAGGACCCTAGTATCTCCTACATAAAACTACTAAATGTTAAGTTAAAAATAAGTACTAGGACTAACTGAACTAATAATAATTCTCTGAACCGTACCGGTGTTCTCTCACTGACAAGCCTCCGGCCCGGGCCCAGGGGCCGCGCCACGCCGGGCCAGTATAAGGTCCTCGGGACGGAGATGTTCTCCGGTCACTACAGGGCAGAAGGGTGGAGTCTGTGACCAGTCGGCCCCCTTTACAGCTGACATCATTGAGTGGTACTACTCGAACTGTACTCGTCGTGTCCCCTCAGATCACGTGGACAATGGGTAAGAAGTCATTCTCGATCCTTCTATGTATCGTGATTCTTTCCCCGTGGTTTCCTGAACGTCGGTGGGGTGTCGTAAAAGGATCCCAGTTACAACAGAACGTCGTGGTTTTAGAACGTTATCGAACGGCTGGGACCTTTCGACTCCTTGATATGCACCCCTTGGAGTCCTTGGATTTACAACACCTGTAGTAAAAGCCTAACGCCTTGCAGCTTTTACCACTTCCCTCCTCACATTAACTGCGTCTCGATGGCATCCGTGGGCCATCTGACTCTGGATGTAAAATAGTTTTAGAGTTCCCCCTTACAGACAATCCCCTGTGGTAAACTTGGGGTGTGTGATTGTATTCCCCTGTTCTCCTCAGTTTCGTTCACCCTCCTCCTCATCTTACCTTGACCCACGTTCTTTCCGTCACTGCAGCACACAGAGCTCCTCTTCCCTCCTTCCCAGAGAATCCTTCTTACCTCTTACACCTAAAATCAACTATGCAAAGATTGCAATCCTCCGACATCACCTTGTCCGCCGACCCTCTCGATGACAGAATGGAAACCGATCTCTCCGAGTTTGAGGAATTCGTGAGAACAGCAAGCGGTGCTCTTGCCGCTGCTGCCTCTAGGGGAGACTACGAGATGAAAGATGAACCAGAGCTGAAGAGAAAACTTCCGAGCTGCAACCAAGTCTTGAGCGAAGAGGCCAGGAACGAGAAATATGGCTGCCCTGCCCGAGCAAGGCAGATCGAGGCTCTGAAGCACTCTATCGAGCTTCTCAGCAGAACAAATCGACCTACTCTCATTACTGCCCTTGGAGACGAAATCAGATTGTAAACGTCTTGTGCTTTTATTTGTTTTAGAAACTGTATTTTAGGATCAATAAAGTGTTGTACTCGAAAATGGTTTTTTTAGTGTCTTGCTGCCTTTACAATGATTACAACGAACAAGCCTTCAGCATCACAAATGAACTTGAACATAGCAACGATGCACAGCATTGTACTGGGTCAATGTGCTTGAATGGCATCTAGTACGGATTTCGTACGTCGGAGCACGGCACTGCAAGGAGGTTCTTACATGAATGTGAGCATGGAATGGAGTGGAATCGAGTTGGGGTTGACATGGGTCAATTAATATCACAAGGAAAGACGAGAAGCTAAAACTGTGTTGTGCCGGCGACAGAAATCTTCCTTCCGTTCAAGTTTCTCAGCGTCCTCGCGTTGTTGCTCACGTGCACGTCTTGGATCATTTTCAAGTCCTCCTGCGGTGAAGGCAATCAGGCACTTGGCAGTGAAGAGTCGTGGCAGACTCACCGATTTTATGGGAAGAACAGTCTTCATCACCAGCCACGTCACCTTTGACTTGCAGGGAGGGGTGGTCATTGATCCCTGGTAGATCAATCAGCTTGTGCTCGCATACTCTCCAGGCTTTCTCTCTTCAACGCTTTCACAGCAGTCTGCTCACCTCATAGATGTAGTAGGTGCTGAGCAGCGAATGGATGTTGACAGTGATGTCTCGAAAACGCAGGTCCGGTATCAAGTTCCGCCCATAGCCCTTTGCTGACGATGCCACGCTGGCGATCCTTGAGACCTGAGAAAACCTCAAGGGTCAGCATTCCAGAAGGAAAGTCGTGAAACTGTCTGACCCATTGGGGCGTCGAGTCGCCAGTGTCAAAGAGGACAGCGTAATGCAGCCGAGAAAACTCGTTGTTGTTTGGCGTCAGGCACTGGCCATTCCCATTGGTAACGCATCCTGTCCTCTCCATCAAGAACTGAACTTCCATGGCCTTCCTCGAGCCCTCGATCGCATGCTCCGATGGCGTGTGAAAAGTGATCTCTCGCAAGGTGTAGATTGAGTTCTCGTAGGTCATCGTTGGTTCTCCAGGAATCTGAAGCGTAAGAGTGTACGCATTGTTTTGACTGCAGAAAAGTGCAAGTCAGAAAAGAAAAAAAACGAGAACAAACATGCACAAGAGAGATAACGAGAAAATGACATGCAGCAAGTGACAACAGCAACGATGAGTATGCAGAACAGCAGAGTGACTTACTTGTTGCAAGGCAAGCAGTCGCAATCTTTTAGTAGGACCTTCATGGGGTCCGTGTTGCTCTTCCCGAGTTCGAAGATCAGAGGCCTCAGCCCAACAGGTTCGACACAAGCCTTCCCCCAGTTTACATTCGCCATGCACTCATTGGTGTAGAGGTCCACGGGACTCTGATTGTTCGAGTCTGCAATGCAAACATCTCGAGATTTCTGATCAGGCAACTTCTCGCAATCCTCCGCTCCGTTCCCGCATGACGCATACTCCTTCAAACTCGGCCACCACTCCTCCCCTCGAGGACCATGGTAGGTCCAGTGGTCGGGAGCTTCGGGGCGCAAGGATGTCAGCACTCGCTGTCCGAGCATGAAGTAGGGGCGAACGTTGGCGCCCTGACGCATCTTGAAGCCTTGTATCGCTGAGGTTGACAGCGTGATCACTGATTTTGAGATCATCCACTGCACTCCAAGATAGCAGGGAGGGTACGTCTGCGAGCCCACGTAGGAGTAATACTCATTGAGGAGGGGGCTCAGGGCTTCGTTGAGCTCGCTGAAGTCAAGGCCCTTGGCCAGCTCCTTCGGCGTGATGCTCACGTCCTTCAAAGTCCCAAGAAGCTTCACGATCCAGTCAGGATTGACTACCGAATCACCTCCATCCTTGAAGAGGATGGCCATCGCGAGCTTCGGCGTGCAAGGAATGTGATCGGAGATCTCATCGGCAAGGCAATGCATGAACTGCATTTCCATGTCGAGCGCAGTGCTGTCGATGAGGTGCTCAGACGGAGTATGGAAGATGATGCGATCCAACTTCATCCTCTTGTGCTCTGAGGACTCGGGAACATATGGGCCCTCTGAGCACACCACATCGCAAACCTTGCACTCCTGCGTGCAATGCTGAACTTCAAGGTAGAAGGAGCGATCGAAGGCCTCAGTGATCGTTGCCTTGGGGTTCTCCCACGTAGGTCCAGATCCAAGAGGGAACGATGGACCATAACAGGTTGGGACGGCGTTCATGGTGACGATGTCGATGGGTGAGCTCATCTTCCCTGTCAAGTCTGGGTCGCAAAGCTTGTAATTTTTGTTCAAGCTCGACCAAACATCTGGATTTGAGTCTGCACGCAGAGTTACAAGCATGTTTGAGCAATGCTAGAATTCACACCTGCATCTTCGTAGCTCCATGGGACCGGCTTCTCATTGGGAATCCTCTTGTAGTTCCTCAGCCAATTCTCGTAGCGGTTGTGTAGCGCCGAATCGTCATTGAGCGGATCAGGAACCCCATTCACCGTGACGTAGGCATCGAGATTGTCGCTGTAGGGCTCGTACCCATCCTCGAGCCAGTCCTCCATGGCGAGCTGCTGCGGCTCTGAAGGACTCTTGACCAGCAGCTCTGCATCCACTTGATTCCACTTGCTGTCCTCAACTGCCTGGTGAGGGACAACCTCCACCTTAGGTTCACTGCTGATGTGGTCAGCGTCACCGAGCAACACCTGGGCAAAGCATGTTGCACCTGCTCACAGCCGAACAGATGGCAGCGAAGGAGATGAGAGCCAGACAACCAACGAGGCACCTCCGCATCCTTGCACCAGCCGCGGCTGCCAATCACGAGACTCAGCGATCGAGATCAACAGATGGATCATGGCAGTTTGAGCCTTGAGGACACGAGCAGGTCTAGCTAGTTCTAATCTTTTCCATGCCTAGGGATCTCTCAATCTTCCTGGAGATCCACATTTGATACCAACTCCAGCTTTCAAGTCCTTTTATCTTCCATTTGACTCAACAGCAAAATCCGATGAAAGCAACAAGCAGTCAGATGACTACTCGGGAACTACATGCTTTATGTGATCTCTTGTAGATACTCAACTTCCTCCTCGTGCTCCTTCCCCTCCCCTCCCCCCCCTCCTCGGCGCTCCTCCCCTCCCAACTCTCCTTCCTTCTACTGCATCTCCGCGAAGAGGCACCAGCCAACCCTATCCATACCACCCCTTCTGGTATGTTCAAAGTACCGGTACTATACATTCTGGCAGTGCTCGACGCCGGATCGGACTGTCTCCGGTTGGGCCCGGCCGGCAATTGGCCGCGGCCGCTCGGGCCGACTCCGCCCGGCCGGGAGCGCCTACGGTGGGCCGCGCCCGGGCCCGGTCCAAGGTCCGTGACCTCAGCGCCTCAGTGTGACGCCGTCACAGTGACTCTGAGGTCAGACTGACTCGGCCCGGCGCGGTCCGTCGCCGGACCGTGCCACCGTCACGGTGCGTACGGACGGTCCGATCCGATCACGTACACTCCGAGTACCGTACACTGCGTACGGACGGTCAGGCTCCGAGGCTCAGCGCCGCCGCGTGCCGCGACGGCCGGGCTCCCCCCGGCGCGGCTCGGCTCGGAACTTAAGTTACCGTACGGTTCCGCCGGAGTCAACGGTTCGACCCGCGACGCCGGGCCGCCGGGGCCGGGCCCCCGGGCGCCGGGCCGTCCGACGGCCCGTCGGTGACCCGCCGGGAGTATCTACTGCGACTCAGTGGCTCATGAAAGCTGCCGATCGCCGGACGCCCGGCCGGCCCGGTGATACGACGGCACGGTTGCCGCCGACTGAACCTCACGGTGACCTTGAACGCCGTAGTACCGTAAGTTGGCCGCAAGCGGCCATTTATGGACAAATTCTAGCAAAGTTGCAGGTCCTTTCATGGCTCAACACAGCTTCGTATGGGCCTGCGTCACAAAAGTCATCAGAGGCGTTCACCGTACGGTTGTATCGCCAGCATTTTGACTGCGGCACCTTACCAGAAAATCCACATTGGCCTTGACAAAAGAAATGTTTATGGGCAGAGAGCTCGTGGTCAAAGACAAGCTGGTATGTCCCACCAAATCCGCATCCAAAGGAACAGAAGTAATGATCACTGAAGCCCTGGCCGCTGGCTGGTGGTGTGTTGGCTGCAGTCTGTAGCAAGCTTTCGGGAACAGCTCCTAGATCAAGTGATGGAAACCCTAACGAGCAACTGCTTTCATGCTTAGACACTGCGCTGTAGGACCCATGAAATCCACATCCAAACGAGCACAGAAAAGAAGCATCGCTGGCATAACCAGTTAGCTCAAAAGTTTGAATACAGAATTGAGAACAACCCAGTGTCAGATTTTTCTTTCTGTTTTGGGGAAGATTCTTTGGGAACCTCAGGCGTCACAGCGCTTTTCTGTTCGGATGCTGCAGCCTGATCGCAACACCTCTGTCAGGGATTGTGTAACAGATTGCAAATTGAGCAATCAGCAAACCTGTCGAGGTAGATCAGGTTCAGCTTTCACGTCATAAGAATTGATCTCTTGAACTGCAAATCCCATCAATCGAGTCTTTGAGGCAGAAGAACAAGCATATTGCACTCACTTGTCTTCCACAAGAAGTCGTCAGCAGGCAAAGGATGGTTGCCGTTGGTCGTTTCGGATGCTTGAGGATCCTTGTGCGTTTCCTTAGGATTCATATCCTTCGGTGCTGGCTCTTTGGAACTGCCTGCATCCTTTTCCGACCTGATCCACAATAGCATCTTCAAGGCTTTTCTTTCGTCAACCAGGCCAAGCTTCAATGCAGGAATGTCCTCCAGTGATACGTGCTCGTAAAGATCCTCTACGCACAGAATCTTGTTCTGTCTAAAGATCTTGAAAGCTGAGTCTGAGAGCCTCCATTCATGCATCAGTTTGGTCAATTCTTCATCCTGTCACAACAATCACAACTGTATATGAGCGAAGGTGAAAATTCACCAACACATCGATGTCTTCGTTTTGGGCTGCTCTGCTTGAGTCAAGTAATGACTCGTCCATGCCATAGTTCTGAACAGTCCACCCAGGGGCACGGGTTGCGTTGGGATTAGCTCTAACTAATATGAGAGATTGGTCAGCTAGATTTCCCTGCTGTCTGAATGGCAGAAATGAATTCCCTGGATTTGCATAAGCCTCTACGATGCCCGGTTTTCCGTTGCTGCTGAATTGAATAATTGCTTCGAGTTCTTGTTTTGTGAGGCGATGAATGTTGTTTGAGTCAGAAAATTGAAGCTGGTTGCCATCAAATGCCAACGCACTCTTCATGGCTTTGTTCTTAAGTGAAACCCTGCGATTGAGCATCAGCTAATCCTCAGATTGAATTCAATCAAGCATTAACATCACGAATTGACTTGTACAATGCTAACAGTAACCTCTGTGGACTGCTTTTCTACGAACAAACGTTCAACAACACTGTCAGCAAACATGATCATATATCCCCATGACGTTATCATCGAACTTCCGAATCTCTAGGCCAGGCGCCATAAATGCTGACAAACCCTAAGCAATTTTAGTGCTCGAGTCTCGTTCAGTTCCCGGCCACTCAGCGACTCAGTCAGATGTCACTGTCACTGAACTCGGAATCATTGACTCAGTGACTTGTAACTCTACTCTGCCATCTCTGCCTCTCAGCCCGTCTGCCTCAGGCATACTGCCGCGCTCATACTCAGGCTCTCTAGTTTCATACGCCACAATGCCATCAGTGAAGTTGAAACAATTTGACGAGTCCTCCTACCTCGGCGACTCGCTGGACCCCTCCTTTTCTCCAAGTCAACTACCAAACTTGCTCCCACCCCTCCTACCCCCCACCCCATCCACTAAATTGAAACTTGAACCAGGACCTCACTACATCCGAGACCCCCTATTCTGACCGCCATCACCCCCTGTTTTGCTCTACAGATGTACCCCTCTTTGTACTTCTAACGGATACTTGCACCACCCCCTTTCCTACCGTACCGTAGGCTGCTGCAGTGCTGACCCTTGCGCTCTCAAGGGTTTCAGTTTTCTCGGCGCCGGTAGTCAAATCCCGTTGAGTCAGAGTTTAACTCAAAGTTAAGTTAAAGTTCAATAGGGTCGGCCCGGCTACGTAGGAGTCCGAGGTAAGGTATCAGTTAAGTTTGGGGGACAGCAGTCGGCAGGATTCATGATTGGGTTTGGTTCTCGCTGTCTTTTCTCTTCTCGCCGTTTGGCCTGGCAGGCTGTGCGACAGTGTCAGGGTCAAGCAAAAGGAGTCCCGTGGCAGCACTGAGCTCCGGCCCGGGCCCGGCAGCGTCCCGGTCCGTTTACTCAAAGTTAAGTTTAAAAATCAGTACGAGACACTCAAACGGGTGCAAGTGGGGATGAGGGTACAGCTGCAGCGGCAGCATGTCGCTGTCGAATGCAGATTTCGCGCAGTTGTATGCGTCAAGCCGAAGAGACGAGTACGATGGTGAGTGTGTTATGAGAGTGAATGTAGCTGTTGCAAACAAGACTTGCCTGGCTGCATTCAGAAGGGGGGGAATGTTTTGATGACGAGGAAGATTGTGCGGGGGAGAGGGTGTGGGGAGGGAATGATATCACAAAGAAGTTTTCAACAAGATTTGAACGATGCAGCAGACATTCCACGGAAGCGAGGTGGAGGTGATTCATCTTCACACAAGGCGAAGAAGCATAAACCTCGTCCCTACAACCCCAAAAAGTGAAGTGCAAGGCTCGGATGTGTAATTCACTGAACAGTGTATGCTAGGCAAATGGAGCGGGACGAAGAGAAAGTGGATAGTCAATATCGAGACAGGGCGAAAGAGAGGCGCATGGGGATCAGTTCAGAGTTCATGATCTCGGAAGATGCCGTCAAAGATCTCACAGTGGAAGAGAGCAAATATCTTGGAGGTGACATGGAGCATACTCATTTGGTGAAGGGACTCGATTTTGCCCTCCTCGCAAAGATGAGGAGCGAGATGCAAACTGCAGAAGAGGATGAGGAAGCAAAACGAGAAGAAATGGAGGCCAATGCCCAGAAAGTTGAAGTTACCACGGGGCTAGGGAAAGCGATGAAACGATTTCTTATTTCAGAATCGGCGGTGCATTATCTATTCTTGCAAGTCAACATCTGATTACTTGTCCAGGTGAAGGCCAGGACTAAAGTTGATATCTTTCTTCCTGGAAGAACTACATTCGTATATGACTTAGATGATACGTTTGGGTCGGAGATTCCAACCACCATTTCGAGGTTTGCTTTGATATCCGCCATTTCACCAGACCGAGAAAATATGCAGATTCTGAATGTCATGCGTAGGTCTTTGGAGGATTCCAAGTTTGCTAGGAGGGATACCAGAACCATGCTTATCAACAAGACCATCATGAACGGAATATCTACAATCATGGGATACATCAGACAGGTTGTTGCACGTAGCAAATCTTGTTCCAACAAGCTGATGAACTTGAAGGGGAACAAACCTGTATCTAGAAAGATCAAGAAAAAGGAAAAGGATTCGGTTAGATATTTTTATCATCAGTGCTTGTATAAGGATGCTGACTTGTAGCAGCAGGAAGATCAACCCGTTTCAATGCTCACCTCACAACCTGGTGAGAAAGCTCTCGCCCATTCTTGTGCTCGTGCAATGGTTTCTAATCGATCATTACAGTGGCAAAGCCGATCGTTCCTGATGAAGACATCTTCGATGATGCTGGTGAGCAAGAACCAACTGATGGTGGAAGTCGCCATTGACTTATGCAAACAGGGGAGTACGACCTTACCATGAGAGCTGCAGAGAAAATTAATTAGCTGAACTTTTGTGGGTCACCTATCAACGCGAAATAGGTTTGACTTCATAAAGTGTATCTATCCGGTGAAGTGTATCTAATCAACGGTACGGACGACGTTGATCAGAACGGTGAGGGCCGAGGAGTCCTATTTGATGCCGCAATCACCGATCAAGTTGGCAAGCGGCCCGGCCCGGCCAATTGCCGGTGGCAAAGCCTTAAATACAAAAAAATTCAAAACGGCAGTGACCCAGGCCCCACGGACTACCGTACTAGTCTGGATGGTCTCTCGGGGCCTCGCAAGACGTCTCACAGAGTCAGGTGATCCGACTTGCAAACTTTCAACGCATCCGGTCCATTATCTTTCGTCAGCTCAAGGCCTCCCTGTCCTTCGCTGCCATCATCGGGAGTCGCGGGTGCATTCCGGTATGCGTCTCATTCCTTCGGCGGCGGCCACAGCGCATGATCATCGGATATCGCTGGCCCGCCATGGCGCGGCCCGGGGGAATTGTCCTGCGCGCCGCGTAAGGTACTGTATCAGTTAAGTTTAGCCGGGGACCGTACAGCTGAGTGGGCACTGCAGGATTAGCCGGGTTTGGTTCTCGCTGTCTTTTCTCTTCTCGCCGTTTGGCTGTGCGACAGTGTCAGGGTCAAGCCTCCTCGACTCTCCTGCTTGTCCTCGTACCGTACCGTAGTGATCTTCACTGTCAACTGAGTAAAAGAAAAGAAGTCCAGTACGACGGTACCGGGTACCCTCACTGCGGCCGGTAAGCGCTACGGCGTAGTACAAAGTACACCGACGGTGGTACCGCCGGTGCCAAGTTGAAAATTCACTTTTGAATTTGAAGTTGAGGGGAGTTGCGCCCGGCCCATTGGCTGACTCGGCCCGTGACAGGCCCTCCATGGCAGCCGTAAATGTATCTTCAAACTTTTTCAATCCTAACCCCTAATTTTGAAACTTGAAAAAGGAATGATATCTACCAAGGTGTAATTTTTCAGATATCGGCCATAAACTTCACCCAAAGAGCAGCAAAAATTTATCTGGTAGTAGTGATGGAGCAAGGTGATTTTCCGAGAAAGACAATGATAAGAAGAAGGTCGCTTGTGTGAGCAGAGAAGGGATCCAACGAAAAAGAACCTGCAGTGCGAACAATTCGTTGGATGCGAGAGCCATCAATACGAGCATGCACTGGCCCGCTGTCAGTGCTCGTTAGCATCGTTATCTGTTTTATCAATGCAGAAAGACAGCCTGCTTGGCACGGACCCGATGCTAGTTTGTCTTTCATTAACTTCGAAGAACATGTCCAATTGAGAAGCAGTCGTATAGTCTCTGTGTGTGATCTTGCGATCAGCTTTGGAGGGTTGTCGCATGAAGGCAAGGATTGCAGATGTAACTCTGCGTAACACCACTAACAACGGTTTCAGGACGAACAAACCGTCTGATTGCGTTGGATATATCTAATAAACAAGCAGTGCATCTAAATTCAAGTGGAGCCCTTCCCAGCCCACGATCTAGTCATGCAATGTCAACTGTGAACAACACTGTCGTCCTGCATGGTGGCATCACGAATAAAGGTCGTGGGCATTACTTTCTTTGAGCCCATTCTGTCATCCTTTCTCACTGGTTCCTTGTTCGCAGGATATACAAGTGAGATGTACCTGCTAGATGTCACGTCGATGCGATGGATAAGCAAATCTCCACCAGGGACATACGGGCACTCGCTCATCACCGCCTCGAACAAGATCATCTTATTCGGAGGGGCAACGGATTCAGGTCTTCTGCTGTGACTTGCTGTGACCTTGTCACCTTGAGGGCTCAGGATTTTCAAACCAGCTCTATGTGTTTGACTCCAAGTATAATACATGGGCGCTTGTAACTGATGGCGGAACAATGGTGCCTCCTGCCCGCTACTATCACGCGGTAGCAAGTAGAGATAAGACCATGTTTCTTTTCGGGGGGATGAACGACGAAGGTGAGCTATGCACTCAACCGCCATGCTCTGCGATTGAATATTCGTGCAGCATACCTCGACGATCTTTACGCTCTAGATACGGAAGAGTACGTCTGGACTTTGATAGAGGCAAACGGTGAAAGACCCAACGGACGAGGAAGTCATGCCATGGTGTTTGTTGATCAGCTTCTATTCATGTTTGGTGGCTACTCTTACCGTAATTTCTCTCTTTCGCTGCTCGGCTCACGCTCATGCTCGTGCTCATACATTCTTTAAGGTTTGAGCAACGAGCTCTTCGTCCTCAACACCTCCTCCTTGACATGGTCCCAGCCCCTCGCTTCCGGTCAGCCACCCTCGCCAAGGATGCATCACTCCATGGTGTGTGAGGGGAAGAACATCTACATCTACGGGGGGGAGACGGAGAGCGGTAAGGAGAAAGGGAGAAGGAGGATCGAGGGAGGAGGTGGGGGAAGTGAAATCACTTGTGTGTTTTGCGTCGCAGAATATTCAGACGAACTTTTCGTCTTGGACACGGGAACTTTACATTGGCGATTGTTGTATCCTCCAGGTCGAATCAGAAGCTCTATGTCATCGTTTGGGAGTTTGATCGTCATGTTTGGAGGATATGCTAGCAATCAGAGTAAGCACTGCAGCTGTGTGTCCGAATAGTCCTTCAAATTTAATTCCTATTCCTTGTTCCAGAGTTGTCATCTGATCTTTTTGTTCTGGACGCGCATAGTATGCAGTGGAACTCTCCTCCAATGTCCGGCCCCTTGCCGTCAGCTCGTTGGGGCCACAAGACCGTAGTGGTAGAGGATCGTCTCTTTCTCTTCGGAGGAGATACTGACACCGGTTTGTACTTGCTGCTTGATACTTGACACGCTCATAGTGCTGTAGTGTACTCTGATGAGCTCTATGAGCTCAACCTTGTTTCTATGACATGGTCTCTCAAAGAAAAGAAAGACCCCACGCCGAGTGCAAGATGGGGTCACGCGATGGTAGCGGCAAGAGATGGCGTTTTTCTATTTGGTGGCAAAGCAGCGAATGGTAATCCTTGCTTGTGCTTAATTTTACCAGTGACAGCAAATAGGTTATCAGAATGATCTTTATCTTCTTGATGTCTCATCTTGTACCTGGAAACTTCTTGAGACCAACGGAACGAAACCATGGCCTCGCTGGACTCCCGCCATGGCGACTCATTCCGGCTCAATCTTGCTCTTTGGCGGATACGGCATCCATGGTTACTCGAATGAGCTTTATTTGCTCGACACAGAGCAAATGAGCTGGAGGGTAGCTCAAGTCAGTGGGTCGATCCCATCTCCTCGATCTGAGTCAGCCATGGCTGTGATAAATGACATGCTCTACGTCATCGGAGGTGTCGATGTCGAAGGTCTGAGACACTGTGTCCTCAGCCAACACAGCTGATGGTGTGTGGCAGGCGCGCTGAACGACATGTTCGTGCTGGATCTCACTGACAGCATCTGGAAGCAAGAGCAGCCAGTGAAAAGTTGGTCCAGGGCATGGGGACAGGCGTCCTCCACAATCAACAAGACAATCTTCGTGTACGGTGGCTACACCGGATCCGGTGATATGTTTCCGGTGATGTTCTGATTTTGTGATACCTTTGCTGTAGATTTTCTGTCTGATCTCATCATCTATGATGTGTCAACCATGCAAGATGATGTGTTAGCAAGCCCCACAGGGAGATGTGCTCACTCAGCAACCATGGTGGACAAATCGATGCTTGTGTTCGGCGGCTATGGAAACACAGGTTACTACTGCTCTGACGCGGTTCTTTTATGATCCGATGTAATGCAGGATCGTCACTAGACATGTACAAGTTACAACTATCCAATCTGCGATGGTCCCTCGAGGATGGTGGGGGATACGCTCCTCTGGTGAAGTCCTACGGACAAGGTATGGCAGCGGTTGAAAGCGATGTTTACACCTTTGGAGGATACACAAATCGAGGTAATGGTTGATGAATTCAGCCCCCGAAAAGTGGTTCAAACAGAACTTGATTCTTTTGCTGTGTATTGTAGGATACTCTGCAGAATTTTTCAAGTTTGATCTTGTCAAGGGCGCATGGGAATTTGTTTGGCCTCGATCTCGAGCAGGTCATTCAAGCGTTACGATTAACTCAGAGCAGATCGCTTTGTTTGGAGGCTACAGCGGATACGGTGAGGAGCAAGGGATGAAAGCGGAGGGAATACAGCTGACATGCTTGTACTTGAAGGGTTCCTTGATGAGCTCGTCCTCTTCAACATCTCAAATCTGCAATGGACTCTGCCGGAAACGACTGGAACCAAACCTCTGGCACGCTATGGGCATGCAATGACGGCTGTCGGGGATGAAGTCTTTGTTCACGGAGGATATACTTCCAATGGTAGACCTGCTTGAGCGACCTCTCTTGACATCTCTCTCACTGCTTTACAGGACTTGCCGCTGATCTCCACACCTTTAACACAAAATCCGCAACCTGGTCGTACGTCTCCACAGCAAATTTTCCACCTGCGAGATATGCTCATGGAATAGCAGCAGTCGGCAATCACTTGTACCTTTTTGGGGGACTCTCTTACAGTGGTGAGTAATCTGTGTTCTTGGACATGGCAATCTTCTCGATCACACCTCTCTCTCGCCCTGTTCATGCATCAATCATGTTTGTTACACAGAACGTCACATTCACCATTTCCATTGTACTGCAGGTTTCTCGACAGACCTCTACGTTCTTGACCTGAGTTCCATGCAATGGGAACGACACATAAAGAGGACAAACCCTCGGTATGACGTTGGAATGACCGCGGTCAATCGGCTCTTGGTGTTCGTAGGAGGATATTTTGATCAAGGTATTCGAAGTGAGGAAACGTCATCTGCAGGAGCTAAAGTACTTGACAGATCCCCAGCCCATGTTTGCAATCTTCAACAGCAGCTCAATGTCTTGGATCAATCTCTCTATTCAGAAGAAACCGATCGGACGTCGAGCAACAGCGTCCTTTGCCTCTAGTAACAAGCTCTATGTCCATGGGGGACAAAGCATCAAAGGTTGTTGTCAGCTTCGAGTGACGGTTCAATGAAATGCTGTCGAAGGATATTCCGCTGAGCTGATGGCCTTTGACAAGAACTCCATGACATGGACATACCTCACCCCACAGAGTCGATCTGCTGCTGCAATGTGTGCTGTTGGCGATCTCCTCTACATCCACGGGGGTGATACCGATACCGGTGACGAGTCACGAGTCGAAAGTGCTTGTTATTCATCTCTCCCTCAGGTCTTAATGACGAGCTCTTCGTCCTCAACACCTCCTCCTTGACATGGTCCCAGCCCCTCGCTTCTGGTCAGCCACCCTCGCCAAGGATGCATCACTCCATGGTATGTGAGGGGAAGAACATCTACATCTACGGGGGGGAGACGGAGAGCGGTAAGGAGAAAGGGAGAAGGAGGATCGAATTGACCAGGGAGTATTTGGCAGAATATTCCGACGAGCTTTTCCTGCTGAACATAAATACAGCAATTTGGGTCAAAGTGACGCAGGTGGGAGAAAAGCCTTCAGCGAGATCAGGTCAAGCTATGGTCGAGCACGACGGTCTTGTGTATGTACATGGAGGGCTCACGGCAGATGGTGATGGAGAAATAAGTTCATGTTTCGAGGCTTGACATAGAGCTTTAAGGACTCTCTTCCGAACTCTTCGCGCTGGACATTGCCAACATGCGATGGAGCAAATTACAGGGCAATGACACGATGCCATCAGCTAGGAGGGGACACAGCCTGGTGTCTGTCGGAGAAAGCCTCTTCTTGTTTGGCGGAAAGCTTGCTGCAGGTAGACTGATAAGGAAACAAGCAGTTACTGAAGGGTCCTACAGGTTCTTCTAATGAAGTCTTCCTATATGATTCTTCCTCCAACTCTTGGACCTTGCTGCAGCCATCTGCTGCCTCTGAGCCTTCTGCTCGATATGCTCACGCCATGTCAGCTGAACGAGAACTGGTGTACATGTTGGGGGGGATGACGGAGACAGGTACTGCAAGTCTAGCCCTGAAGCTGCGTCACTGTGATCCGATCCTGTTCTAGGGATTTCTGATGAGTTCTGGTTGTTCAACATGAGCTCAAACACATGGGAGAGAAAAGTGCTGACTTCTGCATTCTCTTCAAAGTATGCTTCAACCATTGCCCTTGTGAATAACCGCCTCTTCTCATTCGGCGGTGAAACATCCAATGGTAAGTGAATCATCTACCCATCAGCTGATGTTGAGGCCCTGATTGTTTCTCGCAGGGGTTGTGGATGATCTGGACGTGATCAGCACGCAATCGTTGGATCTTCTTCACAATCCAGACAAGCCTGACGCTCGTGTTGGTCACTCGATCGTTCTGGTCGGAGGCTCCGCGTATCTCTTCGGGGGTTACACAAACGATGGTAAGGAAAACTGATCAGCTCATTCCTTGCAAATTGATAGTCTTGCGTGCAAGGGTTCTCCGGGGATCTCTTCAGCTATGACATCCTCTCATCCAAATGGTCGAGGTTGTTGACGACAGGAAGTGCTCCCGGTGCTCGAGAATTTCATGCTATGGCCGCTGGTGGGACGGACATTTTCGTGTTCGGTGGCGTCTGTGACTCAGGTCGTCTTATCGCTTCCTCGCCAATCTGAGCCTGAAGCTGCAGGATACTTGAATGACTTGTTTGTCCTCGACACGAACTCCATGCGATGGTCAGCCCCCGCCCTCTCTGGGTCTCCTCCGCCTCCTTGCATCGGAAGTTCGATGGCTGCGTATGCTGGCGGCATATTCCTGTTGGGGGGATATGGCTATAACGGTATGACAAAAAGATGCGCCAAGGAGTGATGACTCGCGTGCAGGATATTACGATCAGTTGTATAGGCTGGACGTGGAGACGTCGAGCTGGGGTATAGCTGAAGTTACAGGTTCCCAACCATCGCCTCGTGCAAATCAGGGGCTGATAGTGAGAGACGACAAACTTTACTTGTTCGGAGGAGACTGCTTCTTAGGTGCGATTCCGATTGCAGCGAATGTTGCCATCAGAGTGGATGGATGTTCTGAATGTCTGTGTAGTGATGAGTTGTCCAATTGTGTTCATGCATCGAGCTTGACATGTGAAAGCGACAATGAGAACAAGGATCAAACAATTTGATCGGTAACTCTTACGACAGCATGGTCAAACGAATTTCACATCTTGGATCTTTCCTCTCTTCACTGGACAAACTTGTCTTTCACAGGCAAAGTCCCGAATCCTCGATGGGGAACTGCGTTCGCCCTGGTCGAGAATGATGTCATCATGTATGGAGGAAGCAACAGCACAGGTGAGAATGACTGCAGCAAACGGAGGTGACTTTTATCGCAGACATGCATGCAGCAGACTTCTTTGAAGATGTTTTTATTCTCTCTCTCTCAAACGAGATCGATGTGCATCAAACTCTAACGAACGAATTGTCTCTTCAACTTGCTGACAGGTTCTGAACATCTGTTTCTTTCTCGAATTTTAATATCATGCTCTCAACATTTATTTCTTTGTGTCAACATTCATTTCAGGTTCTCAACTTTCGTTTCTTCGCATCTGGTTCTCATGGATCGAGATCTTGTTTTGTGCTCAGCGAACCATCCGTGCATTTACAAGTTGCAGAACATGAAAGTTATGTGGCAAGCAGGAAGTGTGTTGTGTGGAGAAGGGTGCAGACTGGCAATCGCAGGCTCACAAATCTCATGTGATAGCAGCCGACTTGTGTCTGTGATGTTTGACATGCAAGGAGCCAAGCTCTCCATCACCAACAGCTCCTTTAGCAATTGCTTTTGCTCATCTGATGGATGCTCTCTGCTCCTGCAGGGTGGTAGCAGCGCTAAGCTCGTCAACACAACCTTCGCACACCTCAAGAATGACCTTGGAGGTGCAGCAGTGACGGTCAGCGCAAGTGACTTGGATGCATATGGCTGCCAGTTCAAGGAGTGCGAATCACGATGGGGAGGAGCGATCTTTTCTTTCTTCTCCTCGACCGAGAACGTGAAGCTCTCCTGGTCGAGCTCCAAGTCTGTCTGGCGGTCGCATGTGACTGTCGGCCGGTCTCTCTTTCAGAGATGCGCTGGTGAGCAGGGAGGAAGCGTCTTCTCGGCTGACAGCGTCCTCGCTCTCTCCGACGTCATATTCGAAAGCAACTCCGCTGCCTATGGGGGAGCTCTCTACATGGCCGACGCATCTGCTCTCACACTGCATGGTGATGTCACCTTTAACAACAACTCTGCATCTGTGAGTGGAGGAGCCATCTACTTCGACAAGGACTTGGAGGCAGCTCATGGTGATCTAACCAGCAGATGCACCAACGACAATCGCGCGCTGTCATGGGGATCGTGCGTTGGCACTTCGTATCATCGACTGTCCCTGGACGTTATGCAGGTCAGGGTGTTCCCTGGCATAGCAGCAAGGATTATTGTGAAGAAATTGGACCTCTTTGATCAAGTGATCACAACAGGGAATGAACTTCTCCAACTGCTCTCCGTCAAAAACGGAAGTCTCGACATCGACACGTCAATTATGATCGTCGGAAACAGTGTTGCAAGGCTCAACCAGGGAGTTGCGGAGTTTCTGGTTTCCTTCAAACCAACCTTTACGAAGATGGACGTTCGAAGGAAGCAAACCAAGATTGACTCTCATCCGCTGATCTATGTAGAGGGCATCGACTTGCAGTCCTCGGCTACCATGAGCAGTGACCTTCATACTCTAGTTTTGCAATCTGACAGCGATGTTTGCCCAACAGGATACATCCTGTCTCTCAGCTCAGAACTCCCTTCGATAGGAGGATGCGTAATCTGCGGGAGAGGAAGCTACTCGGTCGACCCCTTCGCCGGGGGACCAGCTTGTTTTCCATGCCCAGCAGGAGGAGTGTGCGATCATGGAGGCAGCAATGTGTCGTTCCCCGTCGGCCATTGGATGCTCGAGAGCGGCGAGTATCGAGTCCAGTCTTGCCCTCCAGGTCACTCTCTGGTTCGAGAGGAAGCAAAAGCTGCGCGAGACGACTGTCCCACGTGCCCCTATGGCTCCTATTCTATCGCTTCTCAGCACATCAGCAACGCCACTGGATGTCTCCGCTGTCCTACGACAGTGACGTGCATGGGCGGAATGAACATTAGGGCGAGGAAGGGCTTCTACGTCATCAGCTCTGCCTACGTGAGGACCGCCCTTCGTCGGTCCCCAGGACAGGAGCTGCTCGTCTTCCGCTGCGCAACTTCCGCGTGCTTGGAGGGCAACCAGTGCTTGCAGGGCTACATGGGCCCTGCCTGCGGGTTCTGCAACTCGACGGAGGATGAGAAGGGGCGGCAATGGATGCGCGTGGGGAACGAGTGCGTGCTCTGCTCTGAGAACGAGTCCCTGGTGCCCTTCCTGACGGTTTTGCTCTCCTTGGCTGCTCTCGTGTGGATCGGAGTCTTCTGGTTTCCGATCTGGGAGTCCATGAGCTTTTGGTCAAGGGGAGTAAAGTGGCTGCAACTGACATCGGAGCATGTTGGGGGGATGCTCGTGTCGACGCTAGAAAGAGCGTCTCTGTCTAAGGCTGCGGTACAAGACTTGAAGAGTTTGCTGACAACCTCAGTCAAGATTGTCATCGGTTTCTACCAGGTCACCCTGACATTTGTGAGGAACTTCAATGTCAGCTGGCCTACTCGGCTCACAGACGTGATCAGTAGCGTCAGTTTTCTGTCGCTGGATTTCTTTTCTCTCCCTGCCACAGACTGCTTGTGTTCATCCTTATCGTGGATGCAGAAGCTGTACGTCGTCACTCTCATCCCGCTCGTGGTCGTGGGCCTCATCGTCTTGCCAGGGCTGGTGGCCATGCGAATGGACGTCAAAGTGAGGAGAGTGGTGACGAGACGAGTCATGTTCTGGTTGCTCTTCTTCCTCTTCACTGCCTACCCCTTCGTCTCTTCCACCATCCTGCAAACCTTCAGCTGCATGGACCTCGGCCCCGTCGGCAACTTCCTCCGAGCTGATTTCACTGTGACGTGCCCGTTGGAGACGCGAGGAAGGGAGTTCAAATGGGCGATTATATTCACCTTCATATACCCACTGGGAGTTCCTCTCTTCATCCTCGCCGTGCTCTTCTACTACCAGGTACCCCAGCTTGCTCGGAGGAAGGTCTTGGTTGCCAAGTTACAGGCTGTCGTAGAGAAGCTGAGCTGTGACTGCAACGAGAGGGACTGCGACGGCAGTCATTTGCAGGACATGCTCTCTCAAGTTTACAGCTGCTCGCTTCTCGCTGATCCGTTGCTCCTTCTTAGCCAGAAGGACATGCAGACGTTGTGCTCCTTCCTTCAGAGGCGCTCAACGCAACAAGGCTCCAGCATCAACATGGCGATCGAGCGGCACAACCAGCAATCGCTGGACTTCATGAAGCTCATCGATGCAGCACTGGATCAAGGCGACCTCTCGCTACCGAAGCTGAGGTGGGAAAGTGACTCGCAGACCCGCTGGAGAGAAGTGGAGGAGACGGCGATCGAGCATGCAGGGTTCCTTTTCGACTCGTACCGGGTAGAGGTATGGTACTTCGAGAGCATCGAGATGGTCAGAAAGCTCGTTATGACTTCCCTCATCGTCTTCATCTTCCAAGGAAGCTATCTTCAAGTCGCCTTCGCTGCCTTCTTCACTTTCCTCGCTCTCATCCTCCACTTCCTCTGCCAGCCTTTGACACGACCCTGTCTGGACCAGCAGCAAGGCTTGTCGCTCACCATTCAGTTTGTGACACTTTTTTATGGCCTCACTCTCATCCTCGAAGACGAGGACGTCAAGTCCCCGGCAGACGCGACCTACAAGGCTCTCTTGGAATACTGTATGATCGGTCTGAACAGCTTCATCGCCTTCTACATCATCGTCAAGTTCCTCCTGGTTCAGATGTTCCGGTCAGCCCGAGAGATGTTGATCAGTTCAGGTTGCAACAAGTGCTCCAAAAGAGACATTCGCGTCGAACATCATCCGTCTCTGTCATATTCCAACTTTTCCTACATGAGGAATGAAGCTAAGGAGGCCCCCCCTGTCTCTCCGAAGGAAGACGAGACAGCAACTTCTGAGCAGGCTGCGTCACCTGCGGCAATGGAGGAAGGAGGAGGATGCAGAGCTATCAGCGTGGAGACGGAGAGACCTGAACCTCAACCGTGCGCTGCTGATTCTCAACAGATGATCGACAAGATCGAGGTGGAAGATTCCTTTCATTCTGCAGACTGCTTCCATGCTGCAGGAATTCGACTTTGAGGTGAACTGCTTGCCTGGCAGCTCTTCAAGGGACTAGAATTTGTGTGTAGATATCCTCCCATCAAAGCTTGCGCAGTAAGCCTAACTAACTGATTCGTGTGATCTTGTTCGACTGGTAGCATGCCATCAAGATAAACTCATGATTGAATCACATGAATGAAGTGCCACAGGCAACGAGGAAATCAGAAAAGCCTGACATATGTAATTGAGCCCGCCTCAACAAAGTTGACAGCCGTTGGCCAAGATGTCAATGTCCTGGTGCAGTGAAACTGAGAGCGTGAAGGGGGAGGGGAGGAGGCAGATGGTTGCTCGAGGATCAGCTCTTGTCCTCGATGCTTTCTTGACGTTGTGAGATAACATCATCTTCTGAGCCCATGAAGGACTAAGTTCCACTGATATCACCCCGTTGCTGTCATCGCTTGCTGTCAGTGTGCTGGTGGGGTGTAGGTTTGCATCATGTTAGCAAAAAGCTCTTCGAGCCTCGGCAACACCTTCATGCCGCCCATGGTAATGATACTGTGAGGATGCATCGCAAGAACACCAGATGACATGTGTTTCTTGCTTTCTTTCCTTCCCTTCGATCTTCTGTTCCATTCTTTCCCTCATTTCTCTCTCCCCTTCTCTTCCCTCCCCTTCCCTTCTCGATTCTCTCGCAACAGAAAGGATACCTCTACAAGCTACAAGACGAGTTCCATGGGACGCGAGGGTCGGCTCTGGGACGGCTGAGGAAAGGGAAGGAAGAAGGATCTTCTCCTCTACTCCCTCCTCTTGTCACATCCGAGGCTGAGAGACCCGTTGGGTCCGTTGCAAAGTAGGAGAGAGCCGGAGAGCCTGACGCGTCCCCTTACGTTGCGACAACAGGAAGGCGAGCACAGCACTGCTGCGACAAGACTCGAGAAGTGAAGAGAACGAGGAATGCCATGACTTTATAGGCAGCAAGGTGAAGGACTGGAGCCAACGCGTGTACGAGTTTGACTTTCGATCCTGCGAGCTGAGGTGAGAAAACGAGGAAGCTTGCTCTAGAGAGCTTGCTCTAGAGAGCTTGCTCTAGAGAGCTTGCTCTAGGGAGGTTGGTCTGCTCGCTCACGAACATGTAGGTACATCTCCAACCATCCCAACAGGCCTCTCGCTCCCGATTACAAAGGCGACCCATCAAGACGATCGCTCGGCTTCGGTGATGTCAACCCTCAACACCTGTGTAGAGTTTGACTCGATCGGTCAAAGTTGACTCAGACACGGTCATAATCCCCGGAAAGTCCATCGAGACTCAAGATTGCTTGCCCAACTCGCACGTTCCTCTGCTGCTGTGGACCTTCGAGATCACTTTCTACGTCATCGTCCGTCGTTCCTGCCCCCGTCGAGCTGATCTGACTGTCTTCCTTGCAGTCCGGCGCGCAAGCAGGAGAGAGGACGCTGGTGTTGGCAGCGGTTGACTTGAAGGAACGAGACATCTGGATCGAGTCAATGACTGGCTGCATCAGGAAGAAACAGGTCGGCTAGCTTGTTCCTCTCAATCCCTCCCTCAGTTCTCTCCTCCTCTGGATTTGATGGGCTGCGTCAAAACAGGAGCTGGACGTCAGCTACAGCAACTTCCGCATGAGAATCAAGGAGACGGAGGAGAAGACGCAAATGCTGCAGGTCGATCGCCACCCGTAGAGTTCGATCTCAACATGTCCAACAGGACGAAGTAAGAGAAGGCAAGCGAGCGATCAGCGTCAACAGCCTTGCGCACAGACAGGCAAGACTGAACAATGGCAAGGCGATCAAAGACGTCATCAGCGTCTTCAAGAAGCTGTCCTCTGTGTTTGTGGTTGAGTCCGACTCGTCAGTCGGGGGAGGGATTTCTCACGTCGTGGTCAACCTCCTTGAGATTGACTTGCTGTCCGAAGCTCTGGCGGTATGAACCTCCCTGCTGCTCCCTCCTTATCGCCCTCGACTCATCTTCTGCTGTTTCTGCTCCCTTGGCTTTCAGCTCCTTGGACTTCACGTCACCCAGGAATACGCGCAGAAGAAGCTCGTGCAGGCAAGCGGATGGAATAATTCCCTTGTCCTCATCCAATCAGATTTTCTCGTCCTCTTCTCCCTCATCCTCCACTCACCTTCCCTTCTTGCTCCTAAGTCCTAGCAACCGATCTCTTTTCCTCCTCTGCCTTCTCTGGTCACAATCTGGAATCATCGCTGCCTCAGGTGCAAGATCGAGTCTTTGGTGAGCGCTGGAGATTTTCACGGCCCGAGGCTCTCGGGAATGAGAAGAGAGTAGACATCGTTTCTTTCGAGGGTAAACTTCTCCTCCTCCTCCCTGCTCCCTCCTCTCATATTTGTTTCATCGGTCCTTTTCCATACACTCAATCTGGGCAGCTCTTATGATGAATGCCGTTCCTCTCCTGCTTCTCCTGCCCAGCTCCTTTTTGATCTTCATCTCCCCTTGGTCTCCATCACAAGGCTGAAGAATCTTCTTCTTCGCAGAGCTCTTCAAGGCCATCTTTGCAGCGAAGCAGAAGAAAGATTCGAGTTTCATCAGAGACATGCTACTGGACCTGATCTTAGCTTCTCACGACACCTTCCTTGTCAACCTGACGGCAAAGGTGTTGAATTTTCCTCTCTTTGCCCCTCCTTCCTGATGAGTGCTTCAGGAGGCCGAGGATCTTGTACAAGAGGATATCAGGTTAGAAGAGATGAACACATCTTGACTCCAACCTCACACCCTGTATCACACCAGCAATCAGATCGAAGCCTCGACGATCCAAGTCTCATGACATCAGCACCAATGACCGAGCTGAAGTGATGACGCAGAAAACGCACGTCAAGGATCCTGTTGCAAGCGCAAGAGAAGCTTTCGACGCTTTTGACAAGGACAACTCGGGTATTGCAGCATCTCCCCTTATCCTCCCTCTCCCAGCCATTCTCGTCCTCCTCCACCATCCCTTCCGCAGCCACCAACTACGCTCATCCTCCTCCTCCCACCTGTTCTTGTCCTGCTTCATCATCTGTATGTTCAGCATCTTCCCGGTCGCAAGTCTCCTCATCATCTCCTGTGGTTGCGTATTCTCTTGAATCAGTTCTGACTGCCCGCAGGCTTCCTTGACATGAAGGAAATTCATGCAGCTATCAAAACATTTCTCCCTTCTGTCACAGACAAAGAAATCCTCAGGATGTCAAGAGCTGCAGACGCGGACGGGAGCGGTCATGTCAGTATCATCTTTGATCCTGAGAGCGGCGGGTCAAGTTGAGATTTTGATTCAAGGTGACCTTTGAGGAATTTCTTGACGTGCTGGGAGTGAAGAACAAAGAAACTGTGACATCTCCTACTCGGCGCAACTCAATGACGTCAATGCAACCGTGAGTGTAATGATTGACGATCAGAATCGATCTCTTGATTGTTTTGCCTCAAGATGTTTCATCATCGAGCTCAAGAGAGGAGATGATGTCATGAAATCTTTATCCATGGATTGCGCCTTCATCCTCATCGTCGACGGCGAGGTGAATTTTGAATTCGTGGGTGTTATTCTCACAGCTTGCCTCGTAGATCGGAATCTTTGTGAAGTTTGAGGAGAGAGGAGTTATCTCCAGCAAGGAAGTGATTTGCTTAGCCAGGGTGATCGTCTTCTCCTCTCCTCTTCCCTCTCCTTCTCCTCCACTACCACCTGCTCCCCTTCCTCCCTCCTCCCTCCCTCCCTCCCTCCTCCTCCTTCCCTTCCCTCCCTATCACTTCGATACAGTTCTCATCGTCTCTCATCACGGCACTAGGGAGATACTCATCTGCTGAAGGGCATCGCCAACGTCCCGTCGCTTGCCCGGCAGGAGCTGACGATCACCTACACTCCGCTGGTCTGCTGCTCCTCTACACGAATCTCTCCTTCTCCTTCTCCTTCTCCTTCTCCTTCTCCTTCTCCTTTTCCTTCTCCTTCTCCTCTCTACCTCCTCGTCTTCCTGTCCTCCTCGTCCTTTTCTCCAGCTCACATCAACGACCAATCTCAGGTGGTGAAGTCAGGGAAGGCAACAATCGCAGGCAATGGGGTCTTTGTTGTGTTCTTGGTCATGACATCTTCGACAGTCTTCACCTTGCACGCCGTGGAGAAAGTGATATCAGCAAGAACATTCCTCAAGAGGTATGCCCATGTCACAGAGCTCCTTTCTTCTAACCTCTACCCGGGTAGAGCGCTTCAGTTCCGCATCGAGGAGCAGGTCACGCTCTGTCGGGTCATGGAAGAGAGTGATGACGTAGCAAACAGGAGGAATGGGCCTCCAACGCTGCCCAGGAAGACACGTCCTCCATGATCGTCAACGTTCAGCCAGACAACGTAAACACGACCTGAGCTCGTCATCGCAAGGGACTCACTTGGACTTGTCAGAGGATGGCGCTGGTCTCGCCCCTTGTCCCCGACTCCATCAACACGACCGCGTTCCAGCACATGTGGAACAACGCGAGACAAGGTGAAGGGAAGGAGCAGAGAGATGTTAGATGATGCAGTCTCGCAGGGAAGGTGAAGTTGTACAGCAAAGCAGCTGACCTGCCAAGACTGCACAAGGCCAAAGACAAAGTGAGCTGAGCTGAGAACATTCGCCTCTCTTAGTCTGCTCCTGCAGTCCAAGCGCTCCTACCAGTGGATGGGGACGCGGGATGGATGCGTGCAGGTCAGCTGCCGCGTCCTCGTCTTGTTTGTGACTTGAGCAGGTCCCACGGTCAAGCATGACCAGCCCAGAGGGCTCAAGTGAGGGAGAAGGAGAGTGAGAGGTACCAGCAGCTGCCTTTCCTCTTGCTGCGGCTCAGGACTGGATGGCAGGAGCAGCATGTTCGAGGAAGGGACGGGGAGGACGGAGCTTGTGTCTAGTTGTTCATTATCTGATCTCTCCAACTCGGCTGGTTGCAATTGTCGGAGTAACAACCCATGATGTCTGTGGCTCCTACACTCTTCAAGTACCTGTCGATCCCTCCGAACGAGAAGAAGTTTGAACTCTGCGCGCACATCTTCTTCCTGCATCCCCCAGCAACTGTCTTGCAAGGACAGCCGGTCACAAGCGCCTTGTGCTGGCACTTTGTGGTGCACTTGCAGGTCCCGTCCGCACAACTAGTTCACCTCGTCACTGGTCTCACGCTCAACCTCCTTCTCCTACCAGCTGCTGTCTTGCCCACTCTCGATGGGCTGATCCAGCGCGGCGGAGGAGCAAGACGTCGGATCTCCTCCACATCCAGGAAGCACAAAGCTGATGCAGGCTGAGCAGACAGACGCAAGTCAGCGAGTCATCCAGCAGACCATCAGTCAGCTCACCATCTTCTCCGTATTGGCAAAATGTTGACTCCTCGGTAACTCCGGTTGCCGTAGACTTGGTAACGATGCACTTCAAAGGTGCTTTGCACTGCGAACTTTCCTGAAAGGAACAAGTTATGCTACTCTCTGATCTGCTAGGAGAGTTCTTGCAAGCAAGTCAACAGCTTACGTATCCGCAGTCACAGCAATCCAAGTCCGACGCACATGTTTGAACAGGCGGCCGGCAGCATTGCTCGGCAACGAACGGTCGAGGTGAGTATTGGACAGAAGGCAAACTAAATTTTGCAAGAAATCATTGTCGATTCACACAAAGAAAGAGGTCATTTACCTGCACCTACTGTTTTCATTGCTGTAAGAAGGATAGCATATGTCTGTCTTGTTGGCTTGCAAAAGGTTATACGCGCTTGCAATCTCAGATGTCAAAGAGGTGATTGAGTTCTGCGATTCTCCACATAACCGAGTGGTGTAGCTACCTTGACATGTTCCCGACGGGACTACGATTGTGGTTGTATAACATTTCATCAGCGAGGTCGTTCGCAACCAGCAAGACCCGTCATATGACCGTATACTGCACAGACAACCACCCGTCTGGCCTAGGATGCAAGGCATGCTCGTGCTGGTGCACTTTGGGAGTGACTTTGCAACGATGATGACCAAGAGAGCGCATACGAAGACAAAGATAGAGATCCAAGCGAAGAAGAGCACGCCTTTTCTTGATCTCAAGCTTTGGATTGCTTGAAACAGTCGTTGAAACATGTCGGACAACCGTGTTCAGCTCACAACATTCAAATCCACAAGAATCCTGTTCCTCGGACCTCCCTCAAGCCCGTCAACGCATGAGCGCGCTCGTCCATGAATCTCGCATTCCGCTTTCACGTCGCACAGAAATTTCAATTTCCAGCTTGTAAAAGAAATTTGTACTGCAGAGATTTGAGGAGGCCTTCACTCTTGGATGGAAATCTATTCTCTCTTTTCCTCACTCCGTCATCTTCTGATCTTCTTGCTTTTCCTTCTGCTTTTCAGCTTGTCTTGAATTTTCTTCCTGGCTAATGTAACCTCACCCCTTGTTAATATTGCATGTCCTCTTCTCCTCTTCTCCTCCTTCTCTTCTCTTCTTCTCTTCTTCTCTTCTTCTCTTCTTCTCTTCTTCTCTTCTTCTCTTCTTCTCTTCTTCTCTTCTTCTCTTCTTCTCGTCTTCTCCCTCTTCGTCGTTTGTTGGCGTCACTTCATTCTCATCGTCACCGTACCCCTCCCACTACCCCAGGTCTGCCCCTATACTACCCACCACCATCTCCCTATGTAGAGCCCGATGACCCAACCTTCATACCTTGCAGAAGTCTCAATTCGGTCTCAATCAATAAGGCAGAGGGTCCTGCCTTGCCTTTAGTAGCAAGGGAAGGGAAGAAGAGTTGATAGAAACCGCCATGGTCGGAGGGTACAGCGAAGGAGGAGAGACAAGGAAAGCAGAGCGACAGTTGCTGTAGCGCATGAGGCAAGGGAATGAGAAGAAGCGTGAAGGAGAAATGAGGCGAAGTGGAAGGAAAGGAGAGAAGAAAACAATCAGGGACACTTTTAGAGAATGTAGTCAACAAACCGCGCTGCTACTGAGCATTCTGTTCCATAAGGCATACACTACTCAGATGCTTGTGCATCTGGAAGAGAGTGAGTGGAGAGTAGTTCAAAGAAAGCATTGGAGGGAATCAGACCAGGCAGGGCATTCAGATTCTCATACCAGAGTATCAACATGAAGTTTCTGTTTGCATTTCAAAACAACTACATGAACAATATGAATTCGACTGTTGGCAAACAGAATATTGAGGGTTTGTGCAGGCATGTGAAAGTGTGACAATGTTTGCAGATTGAGACTGTCATTGAATGAGAGACTAATTGATACAATAAAAGTATGGCGGGTGAAGACACCAAGTACAAGAAGGCTGTTGCCACAGCTGCCTTTGAAAAGATGTCAAAACGTCAGCAACGCGCTCTGTTCGCTGCTGCAGGTTTGAAAGCGGGAGCAAACGTTTCCCTCGCGTATGCCATTGACAAGTTTAGAAGGGACAAGATCCGAGAGATTGTTTTTTATTTGTTTTTTCTCGTCATCTTCACCACGAGTGCTTTGATACAGAGAAATGTTACAGACTCTCATTACTACATGCAAACAGTCAAAGACGCGATTTTGAATGAGAATTTTCCCGATGTCACTTGGTTTAAAACTTTTAATGATGTTGCCATCGATGCAGATTTCTGGGATTACATGACAACGGTTATTCCTCAGTATCTATACAAAGACAAATGGTACAACGGTCAACAGTACACTTCTGCAGAGATGAACTATGTTCTACATGTCAATAGATTAGTGCAAGCTCCACGAATACGACAACTGCGTGTGAATTCGCAAATCTGTCCGGTTCCTCCTCGACTTGCAAATGTGATCAAGACTTGCTATCCGGCTTTCAGTACATCAGCAGAAAATCGAACAAGCATTCCCGGATGGCCCCCTGGAACTTTAGTCACGTACAAGACTGCAAGCCAACTTGCAACGAGCGAGTATCGGAATGGACTTCTTCCTTACACCGGCGGCGGGTTTGCAATAGACCTTCCTCTGTACTTTAACAAAACTCAAGCTCTCGATTTTTTCAATTACTTGAAGAGTGTGAAGTGGAGCGATCTTCATACAAGGGCAATCTTCTTCACCTTCGCCTTGTACAACCCGGTCAACGGTCTCTACCTCTCCGTGCTCCTTCTCTTTGAATTCCTGCCGTTCGGAGAAGTTCGCCCTTCCTCTCAGTTCCGTGTCATTAGGATGGGTCTGAGCACTGCCAACGACTACGCCACAGTTCTGCTCGATGCCATGGTTTATCTCATGGTGTTTTCCTACATCCTGCAGGACGTGAGGAAGATAGCAGCCATGGGGAGGGTATACTGGACTCACTTCTGGCACTGGTTCAACTGGGTCAACTACACCATCTTCATGGTGTCGCTCTACTTCAAGATCAGCTTCTACATGGCGAGCTTGAGGTACGTCAGCGGTAACGGAAATTCCGACATGCAGACCGCAACCATGGACTTCGAAGCTATCGGGTGGACCTACTATCAGATGGTTAACTTCCAGGCCTTCAACAACATCTTCGTGTGGTTGCGCGCCTTCACCTATATCAAATACTTGACGACGGATATCGCCAACCTGTCCTACACTCTCACCAATGCAGCTAAAGATTGCGGTCTGTTTCTCCTGATCTTTGCCATGGTGATATTTGCCTATGCCCAAGCATTCCACATTGCTTTTGGAACAGATATAGGGACTTACCAAACTCTCTTGGAATCAATTTTCGGCCTGTTCAAAACGTTGTTGGGAGATTTCAACTTCAACGCAATCAAGTCCAGCAATGCGTACCTGGGGCCCCTACTCTTTATCACATTTGAGGTCGTGTGCTATTTCATATTCTTGAACATGTTCTTGGCAATCCTCAACAAGTCATATTCTGATGTGATAGACAAGGGTGTAGATGATCCTATGACTGTAGAGTTTCGAAATACGCTAGCAGCAAACTTTAGGAGATTCATTGACAGACTCAACTTGTGGAAATCCGAGGATGGTTCCCGCAATCAGCAGGAAGATGGAGACGAAGATGAAGAGGAAGTGAAGAAAATTGAGAAGAAGAAGACAGCGCTGGATGGTGAAGCACTGGGAATGATGTTGAACACCATACAAGAGTTATCAACAACCGTTCGAGGCATCAATGAGAAGATCGAGAACGTGAGCAAAGTACAATCTTTGAGTGGAGCTGGCAGGTTGCAGGTGCTCAATAGAGCCTCAGTTGCGGGCTCCCTCGACAACCGAGACCTTGATGGAAGCAACTCTCAGAACTCTCCGATCAGTCCTACTGACAAGCAACTGTCTGCAGTTCAACCGGATATCAATCGAAATGGTCAGAAAGTGAGGTCGACCTCCAAACTGCACGATGACAACCTTACTGAAGAACTTCTGGAATCGGATGCAGCTGGTGCAGACAACAGAACAATCCAAGAGAAACAAACTGAAAGCGCGCAAGGAAATGTTTCAGGCATCAAGCAATACAAGAGGCCAACTCTCCCAACTTTAGAAAGCAAGACAAGGCCAGATGATGAAGAAGACGCGACACCAAGGCTATGATGGGAGTATGAAACACGGCAAGAATGACAGTTATCATCGAAGGATGTAGGAGACGTACGATATTTACAGATTACTTACAAAAGAATAAACTTCCTAGTATGGAAAGTAAGGAATGGATAGGTGAGAAGGCTTTTCAGAGGAAGCATCATACAGCGAACACTCGTGGTGCCCTGCATTCCTGACGCGAACTATCAATCTTCCGTTAACAAAACTTTTCAAACTTGTGTCCTCTGAGGAGAACTCTGCGATCCACTGATAATGTTCCCCATGTGCAGAGCTGATTGCCTGAGCTGCTAGCGTGAGAACTTTGTCTATGAGCCCTCTGCCGTCGAAATCAAACAAAACCTCTACGACTACTGCGGTTTGAATATCAGCAGTCAACCTCAACCCTACCACCAAGGATCGAGACTTGACGTTGCGAACAGCTGTAAGACTTTCAGACGCTAGCTCAATGGTCTGATTGGAGCGAATTGAAATCCTCCTCTCCGTTCCCCCGTCCTCACAAACCCGAAAACCATTCTGAGAGAAGAATCCTTCATTGGTGATCCCATCCTTGTTTGGCTTGATTCCGAGGAAGAAGAAGTTGAGAGGAGGCGGATTGAGGTATACAAAGCAGTGGAACCAGCAAGTCTGGTACGGATATGCTTCATGTATCTTCGTCTCATGGTAGGACGACAAGGCCCACTCGAGATGATGTTTGAGGACTTCGTCTGTGAGGTTGGGCCCCACTTGAAGGTTATGCGGTCCCCCAGGCATGATTCCCGAGCAATCATGGTTGGCTCCCCAACTGGAGCACAACCATTCGAGAATGCGCATCTGACTCGTGCTATTCGTGTGCCGGGCGACAAGGCATTGAACATCGGCTGTGAGCCACGAGCTCCTACCATTTGCCTCCTCACTCGCCGCTCGCATTCTAAGAGCGGATTGAGTCCGTTCATACTCCCAAGCTAGCTCTTCTTCGACGCTTCTCCAGCTCTCCTCCAGATGTCGATCCCTCCCCTCATCTCTCAAGACCTCTGCAGCCGCGACGTCATTGCCAGGGGGCGCAGGGCGTTCAACGGCGACTCCTGGTCTGTTGATCATCTTGGCGAGCTGAGAGTTAAGGTGCTGCTCCATGTCGACGAGGAAGGGAGGAGAGCCATCGCTACCCTGCCTCCTCTCATCTGCTGTGGTGAAGGCGGCAACCATCATCATCCACATCAACAGCCTTCCCGCCCATCGTCTCCCCTCCATGGCGCGGCGGCTTTCCGATTCTAATCGCTCACTGATCAGGGACCCCCTCTCGCTCCTGCTTGCACGGGGGTGGGCCTGGGGTGCCACCGTACTACGGTAGGGTTACTGCCACAAGGTTCCGAGTCTCTGGTGGCTGTCGGTCCGGCCCTACGGCCCGTTTGGGTCACCCGTGACCCTCACCTGGTGACCGGCCGCAGAGCACCACCCGGGGGTTTTACCTCTACGATGTTATGCAGTGCTGCGGAGATGCCAGTGCGTTTCTTGAACAACTTCTGAATGTCTTCAGCTGTCATACGTCGATGAACCCTGCCTCCAGTGTCCCTCCTGGAGCCCTCGGCTATAATAGTACGGAAAGGTTTGGAATTAACTAGATAACTGGCTCCAGCATTTCCCACCGAAGAGCACAATGTGCTATGGTATAGGGTGCTATCCTCCATATTGATGGTAAACTTATCCTTTTTGTGTTGTTTGCCCCTCTTGACGATGACTGTGTACCTGAGAGAATGCAATGAGAGGGAACGTCATGAAAGCGACAAGAATGATACTCACGGGCATGTAGAGCAGGAGCAGCGCATGATATAACCGGTCATGCCATGGAGTTTTTTGCAAGGAATACTCTTGATTTGCTTGTTGTAAACCTTCAAATTGATATGTTTAAGGAATCGTGTACATTCAAGTCGTTTGGAGAACTGCATTCCGCGCAACGTCATGACATGGTCAGATGGAGGTTCCTTGTTGTAAGATTCTGAATCAGATGAGGACATATACTCGTCTTCACTAGTCCAAAAGCAGGAGGGCTCGTCCTTCATTGATATGGATTCGGAGTTGTGGCTTGCACAACTTTCATCTTCAGGCAAGGATCTGTCCGCTCCGTGAGGAAGCAACGGATCTGAAGGGACATTCCCTGTGTGAGGAAGGGGAGGTGATGATAATGAAGAGGTCGGGGCATCGAAGATGAGGGTATAAAGTCGCTCGATACTCTCGATCAAGGACAATTGTTCGGGGGGTTTCATACCCAAACAACGAAATCCACGTTCAACAATGACAATGTACGACGCATTGGTAGGGAGTTCGAGCTCCAGCTCTTGCTGCAAAGCACGTAGCTTGGCACTCATGCTGAGCCTCCTGGCCTGTGTCGAGCCTTCCCCTGCTATCCGCAATCGCCCAAAATCTTTGATTTTTGTTGATTCACCGACCTAAATCTTTAGAAAAGGCAAAACCGTAAACCTACCTTAGAATTTTTGCTGAAAATCTTTCCCCGCTTCTAAACTTTAATTGCCCGGTGAATTGAACCTTGACAAATGGAAACCTGATTTTAAGGCTAGTAACTTCCTAACTCAAACTGATCTTTCGTTTCCGCCCCACCTCCAGACCTACATGTCCGGTTTCACTGAGCCAGTCATTGAATGCGGCGGGCCCCACCTTCCGGCGGAACTGGACGGGCCTGGTACGGTAACCGTAAACCGCCGGGGCCAGCCCGGTTATTTGACAAGGGACATAACGGTTCTACTGCTTTGAGATCCGATCAACGGAAATTCAGCCTGTGCGGCCATGGCAGGAGACGAATCGGAGGCGGAAGAGGAGGCGCCGGCAGAGCCTGAGCTCGTCGTACGGGTGACAGTAACGGAGAACGAGCAGCTGAAGAGACAGAAGGAGGCAGAAAGAATGGCAAGGGCCCTGGCAAAACAAGAAGGCGCCGAGGAGCAGGAAGGAGGGGACGGTAACGACGCGGGTGAAAACGAGCAAGAGGAGCCCAAGTTAGAAGACCTTGGAATGAGCTTCGATCTCAGAATGTATGACGGTGTGTCTGTGCAAAGCGAAGTCATCAACGATTCATCGTTCGTCTTCGAGCACAGAATGCCGATTCCCATTGCAGAGGCCGTAGCTCTTGCTATCACCGAGAACGAGCTGGTCTGCATGATCTCGGTGCTGGACCCTTCCTCTGATGCTCCCGTCGTTGTCCTCCCTATCAATATCCATCACCTCATTGGCGGAGACCTGGAGGTATCCCAGACGTGCTCGCTCGCGTCGACGAGACTAGCCCTCGACCCGTTCAATCTCGTCTCTTTCACCATCACATGCACTGCGAACAAGGATGTGTTGGACGAGGAGACGCGTCAGAAGCTCAATCCTCTCACTATTACCATCTGCGAGGCGAATCAGATGCCGAGCCGTGACACGTCCGGCCGAGAGGCGTCCTTCTCCGACATGCACTCCGCTCTCCGACCAGCCTTCTGCAAGTACACGTTCTTGGGAAGGGCGGTGGAAACCAACGGAGTTCTGCAGGAGAAGAAGCTTGTCTTCGATCATCGGCAAGTGTTCTGCCTGGGGATGAAAGAGCCGTCGGATGTGATGGAGTACTTGCTGCACAAGGAGCTTCTCGTCGAGATTCGTGATCGCGAGAAAGCCAAGACAGCAGAACCGACCATGTCGGAACCTCTGCCGGCAGAGGAGGCGACGCCGGAGGGAGAGGAGACGACAGAGGAAAAGAAGTTGAACTCAGACATCGTCAAGCAGTGGTCAGGGCTCAAAAGGATCGACAAGGAACGAGCTACTCAGATCCCTCCTCCTCCTCAGTTCGGGCTGGTGAGGGTGAAACTTGCAGACATGGTGAGGGAGGGGAGTATGAGGATAGTGGCGACACGAGAGATCAGTCCGATGAAGGAAGAGAACGCTCCTAAGTATGCTGTCTCCTTCCACAACAAAGAATATCCCTCTGCGTTCATCGAATGTGGCAGCACCATGACAGTCAAGTTGTCGCTCTCGCATCCCCTGGAACAGGTTCGTTAGAATTGATGATGATGATGATGATGATGATGATGATGATGATGATGATGATGATGATGATGATGATGATGATGATGATGATGATGATGATGATGATGATGATGATGATGATGATGATGATGATGATGATGATGATGGTGGTGGTGATGATGATGATGATGGAGATGATGATGATGGAGATGATGATGGAGATGATGATGATGATGATGATGATGATGATGATGCTGTTGGCGATGAGATTAATTTCTTGTCTGACATGTTCAACACCATTGTTGTTGATGATAGCCTTAGTGATGTTCTGCTAATGCATCTATCATGCTGTTGTGTTGAGATATTTCAACATGTTGACATCCGTCCAGTTTGTCTACGAAGGGAACTTCCAACGGGTTGTGCTGAAAATTCCGTATGCCGACACAAAGGTAGGCGGTCAGATTATGATGACAGGGTTTAACTGGTGTTCAAGATGCTTTCGCTGATTGAAAACCAAGTCATGAAGAAAAACTGCATCGCGCTGCAGGTGAACTGCTCGGACTACCCTTCCCCCCCCCCCCTCCCTCCCCTTCCCCTGCTCTTTCAGCTATGTGACGTCCTTGTATTTCGTCACCAAGATACAATGATGTGATGCTGTATGTCACGGCTTCATTCCGATGCTTCTTGCCTCGTGCTCACATGTTCCTTCCATCAGGGTAAAGTTGATGCTCCCCTGGACCTCAGCATGGACAGTGAAATCCTCAAGAAATCTCTTGCGACGGTCTCGTTGACCCACGACTTGGTACGGGCAATCCTCTGGCATTCTTCCTCTCCCCGCCCCTCTCCCTCCCTCCCGCCTTCCCTCTTCCGCATTCTGTCTTCGTTATGTCCTGCTCCTGCCTCTTCTCCTGCTCCTCCTCCTCCTTCTTTCTGCTCCTGCTGCTCCTGCTCCTGCTGCTCTTGCTCCTGCTCCTCGACCCTCCTGACGTGATTTTGCAGCAAAGCGATCCTACGCTCGACATCATCACGGGAGTGCAGGTGATCGAGGGTGACTCGCGTCTGTTCATCTTGGAAGGGATCATCTCCAGGATCAACGAGGAGGAGGAGGAGGAGGATGGAGCTATCATAGAGCTGATCAAGAGTTTTTCTCACCCCAACAAGAAGGAGACTGGAGGGAGGAGTTTCATCCTTTACAACCCCAGCCTCTCCTTCAACGAGAGGTTGTACGGAGGTTTCAACGCAGAGATCAGGAGGATCCGGCTCAAGAACAGCATCAAGACTCTCTTGTCGCAGACGCAGCTGTCCCTGTCCTCCAAGTACCTCCCGTCCCTCCTCGCTCTCATGCGCCTCTACGGCATGATGGGGGCAAGAAACATGGTGCAAGTCAGGGAGGTCGTTTGCTTCCCTTCGGTGGATCAGATTAACCAGCTCTACAAGAAGTACGGGTAAGTTCTTGACTTCTCCTGCCCCCTTTCCTTGCAAGCTCCTGAGCTCACTGCTGCTGCCCCAGCGACATGCTGAGGACAGAAGACATCGCGGGAGTTCCCGAGAAGAACTTGGAGGAGATGCTGAGCAGAGGAGTTGACAAGATGAACCTATCGGAGGAAGAGCTCAAGGCCGTTACTAAAGATCTCCCGGTAACAACTGCTGCTGCTGCTGCTGCTGCTGCTGCTTTTCCTCCTCCTCCTCCTCCTCCTCCTCTTCCACTTTCACCTCCTGCATCTCTCGCTCCTCCCCTGTTCCTTCTTCTCGTCTCTCATCTCATCTCATCTCTTCTCTTGCTTCTCGTCGACTTCTTTGTTTCCCTCCCTACATCCCTTAGCTTGTTCATCTCACTCCTCTCCTGCAGTCTCGTCCTCATCGTGTACCTCCTACCGACAGCAGCAACCCTGCCTACCTTGCCTACCTCAGCCTGAAGCGCCAGGAGCCCCCAGCTGACTACCAGGAGCAGCACAAACTTCTCGTGAAGGATCTGAGCGACAAGTCTGTTCTCCTGCTCCTGCTCCTGCTCCTGCTCCTGCTCCTGCTCCTGCTCCTTTCTCTGCCTCCTTATGCCCTTTCTCTTCCATCATGATTTTCGTCCCAATTTCTTTCTTTTTCCTTCCTGTCCCCTTGCTCGAGGCCTGTTGCTACTCAATCTGCTCTCCTCACCGTCCTTCCATCCCTGCCCTCACCTCCTCCTCACACGCCTTGCAGGTCGAGGTCCAAGATGAACAAGTCAATCAGGCCGCAGTCGTCGTGGGTCAAAGATGACGTGTACATGTACTGCTCGCAGAAGCTGTCCTTCTCCAGTCTTCACCAACAAGTGATGCGAAGAAGGCTAATGCGAGACTACGGGAAGGTGAAAGGAGGAGGAGGAGGAGGAGGAGCAGAGAATGATGAGTTACAGGTCCACTACACGTACTCGAAGGATTTCTTGAGCGGAGCTTTTGTGTTGGTTGATGTTGAGGAAGCGAGGAGGAAGGAGGAAGAGGAGAATAAGAAGTTGATGATCACCAGCGATGGGTATGACCTGCTTCGATCTTCCAAGACTTTCTTATTCTGCTCTGCTCTGCTCTGCTCTGCTCTGCTCTGCTCTGCTCTGCTCTGCTCTGCTCTGCTCTGCTCTGCTCTGCTCTGCTCTGCTCTGCTGTCTCGTTTCATCTCTTCCTGCTGTGAATTTCTTCATCTCTCCAATTTCTTGCTCCTTTGTCTCTGACCGTCTTTTCAGCTTCAGCGCCATCAAGCCCACAACTGTCGAGACATTCCGCAAGTTAGCCGGAGGCGTGACGGTCGATGCAGCCAAAGGATGGGAGGGAGGAGGAGGAGGACAACTGACAGATTTCGAGAAGGAAAACCTGAAGCAAGAGTGGCTGTGAGACCTTTCTCCTCCCTCCTCCCTCCTCCCTCCTCCCTCCTCCCTCCTCCCTCCTCCCTCCTCCCTCCTCCCTCCCCACCCCCTCCTTCCTCCTTCGTCCTCTACTCGTTTGCTCTCCTCTTCTTCTCCTCTTTCTTCTTCTCTCCTTCTGTCTCCTCTCATGACTTCTGACAGAGATCCTGGTCTGTCCTTGAAGAATGTTTCCTTCCACGATCTCGACGTCAAAGATGCAAGGTGAGACTTGGCAACAACTCCAATCTGAGTCTGAATGTGCTTTGTGTTTTAATCAGGACGGAAGCCGCGGGCCTTCACGGCGGAAAGCCTTTTCGGTCTTATCCATCTCCTCTCCTCCTGTTCACATGACACAAGTCTGTCAGTCGCTATCACGCGCACGCGGCGCCAGAGACGTTCGGGTTGCAGTATGAAGTATTCGGGTGAGAAACAGAAGTTCTTCTCCATGCTTGTATGCCTACATGACATGTGATGTTGATGTCGCTTCAAACTTACAGTTGCATTGACAACCTGATGCTCGTGTTGTTATCCTCACTGTTTGTGTTGTTTGTTGACTTCCCTTCTACTTTCTCTCTTGGACCCCACATGACTTCAAACTCTCCAGCCATCCAAATCAAGGATTTATGAACAGCATATATGCAGCTGGCGTAGAGGTCCTGCCTCTCCTGTCCCCTCCTCTCCTCTCCTCTCCTCTCCTCTCCTCTCCTCTCCTCTCTTCTCCTCTCCTCCCCTCGCACTGCTTCCTTTGCTTTGTCATCCTTGTTCCCTGTAGCTTCCTAAACTTCCTTCTGACTTCATTGCCAACTCCAATCTTCTCCAATCTTCTCAATTTTGATTTTGTTCTACCCGACAGTCAAATGTGATCGAAGCAAAAGCGAAAGAACAAGTAAAGACTGACTTCTTCACTCATTTCCCTCCTTATCTTACTCCTTGTTTTGGTCATCTCAATCCTTTCTCTACTTCTTGTCTCACTCATCATCTTGCTCGTTGTCTTCTTGTCTTATTTTTTTTTTCCTAACTTGTCGTCTTCTTCTCTCTTCCTTATTTTTGCTGCAGGCAAGTTTTCTGAGAAGCTCAAGGGACCAAAGTCTGTCATCGCATTGTGGAAGCAGCCGGCAAGAGGGAATCAGGTGAGGGTGGAAGTAAAGGAGGCGATAGGAGAGCAATGAAACGAAGAAGGGAAAAGAGGGAGGGAGGGAGGATGAAGGAGATGGAAACGGAGAAGGATAGGGGAGGGAAGAGGGAGGAGGTGGAAACAGAGAAGGAGGGGAGGAGGTGGGAAAGGGAGGAGGTGGGAAGGGAAGGAGAGAAGAGGTGGGCTGAAACATAGTTCTCTCCAGCTGGACAAGTTCACTCAAAGTCTCCTCAAAGACGTCCCATCAAAAATCTCAATCAAGACGATGCCGAGGATGGAGAGCGTAACGCAGCCTCCCCCCCCATCCATCTTCGCCAAGGTTCCTTCAACACCCACTGCTTCCTTGCTCCTTGCTCCTTGCTCCTTGCTCCTCTGTTCTCTTTCCTTCACCGTCCTCTCCTGCTGCCCTCGTCCTCCTCCCCTCCCTTTGCCGGCTCGTTTCTTTCTCTCGTCCTCCTCCTCATTCTTCTCCTCCTCCACCAGGAACACTGGAAGGATCCAGCCACCACCGCGACTCTCAGCACCTACGGCAGCACTTTGCGCATCCAGAAAGGTCAGTCCAGCTATAGTCCAGCTGGGAGGGGACGTGGTTGACTTGCCATGCAGACAACCAAGGAGCCGCCATGCTCACGTGAGCCTCATCCTCATCTCCCTCCTCCTGCTCTCCTCCTCCAGCCCTCCTCCTCCAGCTCCTTCGCCAGCTCTCCTCCCGCTCTGCCCTCTTCTCAGCTGGGGCTCACCAGGAAGGCGCAGGTGGAAGGACATGAGGGCGGTGGGAGTGAAGGAGGACGTAGCTATCCCATCCATTCATCGCTCCATCTTCGCCTATCGCAAGGTCTGCTGCTGCTGCTGCTGCTGCTGCTTTCTCTCCATTTGCCGCTTTCCGCACCTCTTACCCTTCCACGCTTCCATCACATCCACTTTTTCTCACTATCCCACCCTCATCCGCCACCTCGCTCTCTCTTCCCATCCTCTCCTCCTCCTCCTCCTCCTCCTCCTCCCCCTTCTCCTTTGCTTCCTCCCGCAGCTCCCATTCTCATCGTTGGCAGACGGAGGATAAGGACTGCACGGACAAGCTCTGCCATCGCATTCGCTTCCCTCCGGTGCCTCTCGCGGCTCACCAGCCCTCGCTGACCCTCCTGTTTCAGCTCAACGGCAGCAGATGAAGGAGGGAGACGGAGATTGAGGCTCGAGGGACGAGAAGAGGAGGGGAGGAGACGCAAGGAAGGTGAGAGGAGGGAGGAAAAGCAAGGACATGTAATTTATACAAATGAATGAATGAATAACATATTTCAGGATGATAGCAGGGTCGTCTTCTGCAAAACTTCCTGTCAGAATTCGCTCCTCCGCGTCCCCTTACTCCCTCCCCCGCTCCTCCTCACCCGGTCAAATTTGGGATCCTGCCGATGATAAGACGCCAAGCGCTGGATCGAAACTTTTTCCACATCGACAGGAAGATGCTGAGAGCTCGTGAGAGGGTCGACGAAGCAACAGGGAATGAGATTGAGACACGTAGAGCGAAAGAGGAGAGGGGGGAACCGAGGAGGGGAAGGATGAAAAGAGGAGGAGGAGGAGGAGGAGGAGGGAGAGAGAAAGAGAGAGAGAAAGAGAGCGAGCGAGAGGGAGGGAGGAGGGAGGGAGGAGGGAGGAAGGAAAGGAGAGGAGGAGGAGGAGGAGCGGGGTAGAGGAGTACGACGAAAGTTTGGTCTACCTCGGCCACATTGACTAAGGTGAGCAGCCATCTGTAGATCACATCCACCACGAGGAGCGAGTAGAAGGCACACATGCTGGCCAGCACAAGCTCGATGGGCATCTTCTGGACCACCGACACGAGCTGCGAGCTGATGAGCAGGGAGGGAAGAGCAGCAAAGAACAGGAGAGAGGAAACAGGCGTAGGGGAGGGAGGGAGGGAGGGAGGGAGGGAGGGAGGGAGGGAGGGAGGGAGGGTGAGAGGGGTCTAGATTAGGACGAACGGCAGGAGGAAGACCTGCTGTGTCTCGAGGGCAGCGAGGAGACGATTTCCATCCTCTGTGCGGAGGAAGATGAAGATGGGGAAGAGAGCGTCGAGGAAAGAGCACGCGAGGTCCCTATAGGGCTTCGGGACGTGATCCTCCACCTGCTGCTTGAGAGCAGCGACGAGGCGGCGATATGCTGCCTGAAGGAGTGGAAGTAAGGAGGATGGGAGGCAGAGCAGGGAAGGATGAGAGGTAGAAAGGGGAGGAGCGGAGGGAGAGGGAGTGAGGGAGTGGGGGAGGAGGAGGATACAATGAAAAAGCAAGGAGGGGAGAAAAAAAAGGCAAACCTGGAGTGGCGAGAGCTTGTGGAGGATTGCAGGCATGATTTGAGAACGGGGGAGGAGAGAACGGAAGTAGGAGAGGCTCTCCTGCACAGCAAGCCATTGAGCCCAGGCTGTCGCGGTGAAGTGGATGTGGACGGAGGAAACGGAGCAAGAAAGGAGAGACGGAGGGGATAAAGGATGGAAAGCAGTGGAACGGAGGGAGGAGAACAGGGTGAAAGGAAGGGATCGCAGCAGCAAGGGATGGAAGGAGAGCAAAGGTAAGAAGGCGCGGGGTGAAGCAGAGCTGGGTAGGGGTTGACTCACGTTCATGGCGGAGTGAGCACGTAACAGAAGCAGAGGGGGCTTGGCGATCTGGAGTGAGGAAGGGAGACAGGGAAGTGAAAGGGCGGGAAGGAGGGAGGAGAATGAAAGAGGGTAAGGGTGAAGAAGGAGTCGACCAATCGTAGAAGAGGAGATGATGTCAGCAAGGAAATTCAAGGGGAGAAGAGAGGAGGAGGCATTTCACCTTCTCCTCCCCAGCGGCAACGGGCACATCAACCATGCGAGATAGCTGGATCGAGGTCAGCCCTGAGAAACACAGCATGGTGGGGAGAGCAGAAGGGGAGACAGGAGTGATACTTCATTCTCGCTTTGGACCGTAGCTGACTTGAGATGCATGTCCATGGACTGCGATGACACGTTTCATTCCTCATCCAAGCTCAGTTCAGCGTCAAGGCACCTCGATCTGGTCTCGCAGCTCCATAAACTGCACCCTGTCCTCTCCCTCCAGCACTTGAATCGCCTCCTTGCACAGGAGCTCGTCCTCCTCTTGGGTTTGAGCAACTCGTGGAGCATCGACCTGGAAATCGATCAGGGAGAGAGCGGAAGGAAAGGAGAGGAGGGAAAAGGGAGAGGGGAGAGAGGAGGCGACAGGTAGAGGGAGAAGCGGGAGAGGATTCAAGAAAAGGACAGGAAGGGGAGGAGGGAAAGCATCAGTGTCAGCAAGGTGAACTGTCAGGCACAGGTATAATTTACGGACAACAAAGAACTCACCTCGATCACATTGTTCCCATTAGTCCCAACCGTGTCATCCACAATGTCATACTGGCCGGACAGCTTCCAAGTCCCGTCAATCAAGAATTTGAACTCGTGCTTCCCTGCTCGCTCCGTCAGACCCTCTCGTCCTCCAAGGAGCTTCTCATCCTTACCAGGGGGCAGATTGATGCACGTCTGCCAGCTCGTTGCACTCATCCTCTTGAGAGTGTATAACAGCACCCACTGACCCCAGCTCCCGACCATGGCCACCTCCTCTCGCTCCTCCTCGTCCTGCCATGTGAATGTTGTGGGAACGAGAGTGAGGCCATTGAGACGAGCCAGCAGCCTCTCCTTCAGCCCTTCATACGCGGAGCGATGCATCGGCTGCGTTCGTCCCAGCTCAAGGAACTTCTTGCTCTTGACCAGCGTTCGTTCACCCGGTCCACTGCATTGCAGCTCCATGGCAGACGTCTCCAGCGCCCCAGCAGGAGGCGCAAGGGCGCAAAGCAGCAAGCCTGGGAGGAGGAGAGGAGGAGGAGGAGAAGGAGGGAGGATGTTCGCATCTTGACGAACGTGTCTGGTTTGTCTTCTGTTCAAGTTGTCCACGAGCTAGCACAAGAGAGCCTGTGAAGGCTTCACCTTCGACGTCTCCGTACAACACAACAGATGTCCCAACGGCAAAAAAGAGATGTCCCAACAAGATCGGAAATAAGACTTCTTGACAAACACACTACAAACTAATCATGATGTAGCAAACAATCAAATGATACGTTTGCAGTAGAGAGCAAAGTTAACTACAGGAGTTCAGATTATGACACCCTAACCCATCCATCTTCCTTGCGTGGCATGCTGCCTCATCGCCAGTTATCCCTTCACCTTCATGCTGGATCATCTTTTCCACCATCTGTTCCCTCCACTATGCTCTGTCCTCCTCGCCTCGCCTCGCCTCGCCTCGTCTCCTCTTGTCCTCGCCTTACCTCATTCCACCATGATGCTTTCAAAAATCATGATCATAATAACGGTGCAATTATTATTGGTAGCACTAACTGTCAGCCCGGCGCGGCCGGGCCCCGTGGCCCCGGGCCCGGCGGGGCGGCCGCCGCGGGCCGGGTGGCACCGTTGAGGCCCGGCACTGGGCCGTGGTGGCACCGTGCCAGTTCACGCGGCAGTACGGTCACTGAGTCCCGGCAGTGCAAGCTGAAGTTCGCTGGGGCCGGGCGGTGTGGCATATTGGGGAACTTGCCGCACCGCGGCAGCCAGTGCAGTGCCAGTCCGAGGGACCCGCATCAGTGCCTCCTGGCCGCTGAGGCTCAGTTCCGTGCCTCAGGGCCGCGCCTCTACTCGGCGGCTGGTCAAGGAACGGCGATGCGTTGCGCTTTCTGTGCCACGGTGGCCGGCTGGCCGCGGATCCGATCGGATCGCCGCCGGCGAACTTGTGACAAGGAACTTCGGAAACGGCAGCGGCGGCTGGCCCGATGGTCTCTCCGCCTCGCAAGACGTCCGATGGTCTCAGGTGATCCGACTTGCAAACGCATCCGGCCCAGGATCTTTCGTCAGCTCAAGGCCTCCCTGTCCTAGCGGCTGCCACTGACTCGGGCAGTGGTCATCGCGGGTCACCGGGTGCATCCCGGTACAGTGCGTCTCATTCCTTCGGGGGCCGGGCCACCGCCGCACATCGCTGGCATGGCCCGGCGCGGGGGACTCCGGGACTCGCTTGGAGTCCTGCGCGCCCGGTTAAGTGAAGGTATCAGTTAAGTTTGGGGGACAGCAGTCGGCAGCCTGGATTGGGTTTGGTTCTCGCTGTCTTTTCTCTCAGAGTCTCGCCGTTTGGCCTGGCAGTGTGCGACACTGTCAGGGCCCTGTCAAGCCTCCTCGACTCTCCTGATTGTCCTCGTACTGATTTTTAACTTAACTTTGAGTAAAAAGGTCTAGGGTCAAAGGCCGTGTCCGATTGTCCTCGTACGGATTATTAACTTAGAGCCCGGGTGCCACGGTAAGATGTAGTCCGGACAGATATATACACTAAGTTTTGTAGTTTTTTGAGAGATTTAATGCTTTTCACATAAACTTCTTCCGAATATGACCCCTACCCCACCACAAGACGAGTTTCGGACCTACCCTACCATCCCACCCTACCCCCAAACGCTTACACACCCGCCTCAGAGGCCTAAGACTCAAAAACACTTAGCCAAATTTCTCAAATCTCAGTGCCATTACTAGTGAGGTTGTTACTAGCTAACCCAGCACTGTCTCACAAGGTTTCAAGAGGATTCAACAAATCAACTTGTGTACTATGATATTACAAGTTAAGTTATCGTCTGTCTGGCTCGAGAAGGACAAGCCCTTTTAAGCAATGAAGTATTCATGATCTTGACATCCTTCGAACAACCAACTCTTGTCATCTGCTTTCTTCTTTCGCATTTTCTTGACATACGTTGACCATGCTAGCTGCCCACTTCTGTCACATGATCTCCCTCCCCCTTCTCCCTGATTCAGCCACGAGATGAAATTCTCCACGTATTGATCGTATATTTTCTTTCCTTCATATATCGAAGATTCTGACCGACTATCTATGAAAGAATTCAGTTCCATCACTTGCATCTCAACATTCTCTTCTTGTGAGATTTGCCTCATACTTCTCCGGATGAACTGATGAAAGCACTTCATGAGATAAGCCATGTCTGTAAAACGTTTGCTTGATGGTCTCTCAAATTTTGATCCATTCAGTTTCTTCAAAGCAGGTATCCCTTTGGCATAGTTGCCAAAGTGATACAGCTCCCATGCACTTTTGAAGCTCTTGGCTGCTTGAGAAATTCGAATGGTTTTCAGATTCGCCTGTTGTATTGATGTATTACGGTCAACTGACGGATCGCCATTGACACATTCTGTATCCACACTCATTGTCCCCCTGTTCACGTCTCCGAGGTTACGCGCCTGCTCATGGTATTGAATGACATGTCGCCTTCCCTCGAGCAACTGCTTCAGCATGACTGTAATTGCGTCATGGTTGTCCGAAACATTCCGTTTCACTTCATCTAATTGCAAAATCACCTCCAGCAAACTTTGGTTGGACTGTTCGTGATGAATTGCTTGCTGGCTTTGATCCTCTGCAGTTTCACGCACTCGATCAGCAACTACCTTCATGCCATTACACATTGAAGCAATTTTGCCATCTATCTCTTTCAGTTTTCCTTCCAAACATTCCATTCGGACAACCTGCTGCTGTATTACTGCCTGTAGCTCCTTCATCTGCCGCGGCCCGTCTTGCAGTTGTTCAAGCTGACCCTTCTGTTGCTCCATCTGACCCTGGAGTGCGTTGACTTTCATGCAAAGCTGTTTCTGATACACGATTGCTGTTACATGAGGAGGGCAACCTGTACTTCGAAACACTGGTACATCCATATTTGTCAATGATCTGGCATTGTCCAAGACAATCTCTTCTTCCCAAACGCTTATCGGTACATCTGTAGGAAGAACACATTTCACCTGTTGCTTCAAAACATGAAACAAAGCTTCTGGTTGGAACAAAGAAGAACTCCATAGAGGATGATTTGGATCTAACTCTGCACGCAAGTAATCATAGTGGTATGCCACGCTGGCAAGGCAGTGCTCTAGAACTCCTGTCATATTCGTTGGCATCCATGGAAAACATAGTTCGATAGCGTTCTGCACAGCTGCTTGATTTCCTTTTCTGAATTGTGGTGGCAGTATAGCAAACTTTTCAGAATGAATGGGCAGTCCACAAGCCGTTCTACCAACGAAAAGATCTGACGCACCCTCGTACGTCTTTGGGATTGTTCCATTGTTCCATGACGCTCGGTCTGACACAGCAGTCACAGATGGACAATGTGTAGATCCGCTTGTACAATATGTCGCTGCACCCTGTACGTATACTGGTTACTATAATTCCTTCAGTTCGATCACACAAGTTCTGACCTTCCGGATGGAATGAGTGCCAATATCCTCCCTGTTCATCCCTAGCCGTGTAATTTCCCGACACACAGCTTTGCGTATCATAGGATATTCGTATCGTCTTCCATCAATGGCCTCATTGTTCCCCATTGAAGTTTGAGTGACATTCTGGAGGCAATACACAAAACGATGATACTGATCTCGACCTGCCGGAAACATTGAATCATCGGATTTGAATCATACTTATACTACGTTACCTGGAAAGAGCTTGCTTCTGTCTGGTGTATGACTGAGTAGATAAATTCCAAGAGCAAGAATAGGACATATTTCTGGACAAATGGGATTCGCATAGATAGATTTTGGTTCCTTCCTTTCGCCCGTTTGATCGGTCTTGCTCTTGGGAAAACTAACCCACATGTGGTCATCTTGCCATCCCATATGTTGAAACAAGATCTGGGCCGTATTCACGGATCTACAGATGAGATTCCAAGTAAATATAAGAAATGTCCTGCCCACGATCACATCCATGTTCTTACATGTAAGCATTTCTCGTCCCATTGTTGAATACAGCGTGAACGGCATGGCATCTTTTCCTGATGTCAATCTCGTACCATCCACTGCCGTTTCATCAGTAATCTTGTTGTGAAGACCTTTGTAGAAATCAGAAATTTGTGTAGCGAACTTCTTCCGATATATCTTTGACCGGTTGTGCCTTCTGTAAACATGCCTGACACCAGACCTCAAAGACACGTATGACGCAAACTTCAATTTTTTCTTCATCATTACTTGCACAATGTAGGATGACATTTGCTTGTGCGAGAATTTCTTCATATTGAAAGGAATCAAATCCCGTCTTTTCAGCAACTCTCTTATCTTCTTTCTAATTGGAGCACGATTCGGTCCTTCTGATTCTAAACACCTCTTGAACTCTCCTGATAAGCAACATGCTCTCTTCTCATAAAGCCATGCAATCAGTTGGCTTACAGAACTCCAATAGCACGCCTTTGAGTCATCCGCGAGCATTCTGTCTCTTACTAACTCTATCTGTTCCCTCACATCTTCTTCCTCCTCCTCGTCATCCTCCCCCTCTCCCTCTCCCTCTCCCTCTCCCTCTCCCTCCCCATCCCCATCCCCATCCCCCTCGTCATCGTCATCGTCATCGTCCTGCTGCTCATCCTCGTCCTCGTCCTGCTGCTCCTCGTGCTGCTGCTCCTCGTGCTGCTGCTGCTGCTGCTGCTGCTGCTCGTCATCAACATCCACTCTGGTGATGTTAGATCCTCCTACATGCCTTCTTGCTTGGCCTGCAAGCTGATCCTCAGAAATTGATGGAATGGCTGTTACGTTTCCCTCACGTTTCTTACACCCACAATTGTTGCGTCCTTCCGATTCAGCATATTGATGCGCACAAAGATGATGGTACATCCTCTTGCATCTTGAGCATTTGTACAATTGAATTCTTTCATCATGTACCTTGCATTGATTGCCAAACAAGCATGTGTGTGAAGAAGCCATGCCTGGTGAAATTATGCCCTGCTTTCCAACGTTATGCTCGTGTCCGGCATCTGTCAGACACTTCGAACCTGAGGTCTTTACTCAAAGTTAAGTTAAAAATCAGTACGAGGACAACCGGAGCCTCAATGAGTCAGTCTTTGAGTAAAAAAGATGAGTCACATAACAATGGTACTGATTTTTAACTTAACTTTGAGTAAACCTTGTAAATAATGGCAGGCGACCTTTTAAATTCAACCCCACGGTTCCGACTTCCGCGTAAACTTTAGTCAAAGTTTTGATAGCCTCGGATATTTTGAGCTGGCTCGCCTCAGGGCCCGGCGCTCAGCCTCAGCGGCCCGGGAGACTCGTGACGCGGCCGTCCGACTCCGAGTAACCAACATTTTACTCAAGAGCAAGTAACTGATTTTATCATGCTACAACCTGTGCCGTGTCATGAGGTGTTACGGTAGTAACGACCCCCACGTGTACATCTGACGCTACAATGAACCCGGGCACTCCGGAGTACAGCATCGGATAACCCGTGATTTCTGTTCGAGATGGTAGTCACGGGGTAGGGGTGTGTAGAGATGTTCGAGGGGGTACCTTCTCTAGCCCTACGTACTATTGGTCGCTGCAGAGTTGACAGCACCCCACCCTACCCCACACCTCTGTGACGTGAGGGATATGCTATAACTTGATTGTAAATTAAAAAAAAACATCAGGACTTTTTATGCCACCCCTATAGTCATGCGCATAATCACCGGTACTTGCACGATGAGAGTCAGTCGTTTTACTACACCACTTTTAATAACTCACCACCCTCAATGCGACGACTACCCTACCCCGGGCCAGCATTCACTTTTAAAACTTCTCCCTGTACCCACATTCACCCATACGAATAGACCGGTACTGAGGATTGGGCAGGGGTCCCACACCTATTTCGTGGGTTGTGTGGTAAATGTGGGAGAAGCAAACAAGAGGACCAGCTGCTACACAAGAGCAAGAGAACCAAACCTTCGATCCAACCACCCGCACAGACAGACAGCCTGAGACTGAGACTGAGACTGAGACTGAGACTGAGACTGAGACTGAGACTGAGACTGAGACTGAGACTGAGACAAAGAGAAAGAGATTCATTGTACCCGACACTCAATACAGTGATTCAAGCCTGAGCGAAAACTCCATGAGCGGGAAATTCAGCGTGGCACAGTTCGAGAGCATTCAAGGTGTTCATATCGAGGAGACAAAGTCAAGGAGAGGAAATCTATCAATCCAAGACATATCTGCTCCGATGCCAGAGGATACAGACACACAGAAAGCGAACGAAAATCCAATGCATCGTTGGAAGAACAAGCAGAAGTTCAGCCGCTCCCTCCCTTCATTACCAATTCAGAGGTCTGGGCGGTGGCATAGATTAAGCTCTGTTGGATGTGAGCCTGTTTCCAAGGACATTTTTGATAATTTTTTCGGGGCCGAACAGGATATCATTATTGAGGAAACAATGAAGTCTAGATGCAAGGATGACACGGATGTTGTTACGCAATGTATCAAACTGTCTCATCCCAACTCGAAAAGTTTCTCTTGGGGTGAACATTCGAACAACATAACGTCGTTAGCGAATGAGGATGGAAGACTCAGCGAGCTGCTGCTGAAACTGAGGTCTTTTACCAAGGAGTAAACTGTGTTAGTGAAGAGACTTCCCGTTTCTCTTTTTTTGATAGACGGGAGCTTCATTGTTAGACAGTACAACAGCTTTAAATAGCAACATCGAATGTTGCTGGATGGTGTCCTGGAACCGCTTGTGGCTGCAACATGCAAGCTTTTCTGTATTTTCTATAATTTGACTTTGATATTCATTAAATCTCTGAACTAGAAATTCTCCCCTGGTCATTCATCAAATTCATCAAGTAGTCGTTTATACCAATCAAGGAGGCAAGAGCCGGCCCTTGGACAGGCAGGGTGAGATGTGGATTCTGGTGGTTGGAAGGAAAGTCTGGATTGATGCGGATCAAAAGAGCTCTGAAACATGTGACTGTAAGACAGATGTGTCGAGCGGAGCGCAACAGTAGCACCTTGGTATGGAACAGTCGGAGTCGTACCAACTCGGATTCCCTGACTCCTCCAGTCCTGTAGCACGAGTAAGCAGCATGCTGCGTTTATGATGCTCTCTCACCCATGCGCCTTGCAACATCGTCGAGAACACACTCAGACTCTTGCCGGACGCAGGGAACCCTCTGCCCGCATCCTATCTGCAGCACAAGTGAGGCCCATGACGATTTGGTTGACATGTCAAACATGGTGGTACCTCTAGGATCACCAAACGAGAAAGTTCGTTGTTAACCAGTTCCTCTTCCATCTGTGCCTGTGCCCCATCATTACAACGCTATGCCCGCCCCTACTCCATTGCTTTACCTCCCACACTTGATACTTGTCTTGATCAACTTTAAGATGTTTCAACAGGAGTTCAGGTTCATCGTCGAACATGAGAACGGCAGGTCGCATCATGTTCCCGTGCTTGTCCACCGGAACGCCGGCAGCTCGAAGGCTCTCAGTGTCCTGCTCGTCACCCAGCAGCCGCATGTCGGTCTCGTCCACTCTGAAGCGATGACCGTCTGGGAGCATCGTGATATCTTCGTCATCCTTTGTGAGTGAGATCCACTTTGAGACCCTGCCATGCACCTCGCATATCCTTTGCTCATTAAAACCTGCCGCCAAGAAATGTCCGTCCACGTTGCTCGTGTACACGTAAGAATCCTTATTCATCGCGCACCACTCCTTCAGTACTGTTCGACGCCATTCAGCATCGCTCAACCATCAATCCATGGACTCACTATGATAGCCGTCGTGCGGTCTGGTTGTCTTGTACAGGTTAAAGCAGCTCCCCCAAAACCCGAGGGCCTTCGGAACCAGCAGGCACATCGTCACAAAAAGAATCCCCCCCCCCTCCTCCTCGGCTCTTACCAGGCAGGCATCCGACCGCAGGAGTTGAGGTCGGCAAAGGTCGGCATAGTTCAAGTCTCTGCTCTTGTACGCCATGTTGTCTGCTATCTTGTCGTAGGTAGGCAACCCTGAATCTGCCGACATCCCCGCCCCCGCCGTGACCAGGAGGTGTGTTGCTCGCAGGATGGCCTTAGCTGCTATCATGTATACTCGCTGGAGAGATTGAGTGCCATGGTGAAGATCAGAGATCCTTTCAGGCAGCATTCTCTCCTGTGCTCTTTGCGGTTTCTATGGCACCAGGGCGGCGCAGGTCAAGGATCGTGCTGACCTCTACAGTGACTTTCAGAGTAATCGCTTATCCCAACCATCATGAACTCTTTTGAGCTCGCATCTCCGCCATGTCCTGTCTCCCCATCGGCTCTACGGCATCAAGCTACGCCTTGGTCGTGCGTCCCAGACACTACTGGGCCTCCCTGTCCTTCGCTGCCATCATCGCGGGTGCGTTCCGGTATGCGTCTCATTCCTTCGGCGGCGGACACAGCGACATCGCTGGCATGGCGCGGGGATGATGGTCCTGAGCGCAGTTAAGTAAAGGTATCAGTTAAGTTTGGGACAGCAGACTGAGTCTTTGGCCGAGATCTCTCCGTGTCGCCGGGCCGCATGTGATTTTACTCGCCTTAAGTTTTGAGTAAGTTAGTACAAGGACTACTGGCTACGGTACGGTAGGCTCCAGCTGATCATCAGTGGACGGGGTAGGCTCCGGGCCGAGCCTCTCAGCGCGCCGCGAGTCCGATCGCCGCCGCCCTTTAGTGTGACCGTATCGGACGGCGGTCACTCAGCCTCGGACTCGGGAGATGGCGTTCCCGGCCGCCTGACCGTACCGGCCCGCCGTTCCGGGGCCGGCCGCGGCACTGGCACCGTAGCACGGTCCGACCGTCACCGCGGCGGCCGCCTGCCCGGCGCCAAACTTCAAATACCGTGAGTACTGTTAACAGTAAGCTGATCGGACCCGGGCCGGGCTAACTTGGCTTGTAAGTTGTGACGACGCCGGGCCAGGCTGCTGGCGCTGGGCCCTTCCAAAATGTTGCAAGATGTCGAATGCGAAGTCTGTGTTCAGCATAGTGATAGATCAGACCATGTCAAGTTCACTTATCTCTGAATTTTCGGGTGAAAATCGATCAGAAACGGTCCACCTAAAAATGCAACGAGCATCAAAGAAGTCGGGTGCATAGATGACAATAAGGATTATGACACAAAACTCCAACAGCATGCCATGCACATTCAAGATCAAGGTTCAGGGACAAGAGAAGCAACGCAGCGTTCAAAGGGTTAGATCAGATTGTTAGGTCCATATCTGAATGTTATGCAAACCATGCAGAGCTTGGCAACAGGTCCAACTTCTCAACCTCCAAGCGAGATGCGAGGAACCAGAACGCTCCGAATAGTGTACAGACGCTTGTGAGGACGTAATACCCATCCACCAATGACGAGGTCGTGACATCTACAAGTGCAAGTACAATCGTCGTCGGCCACTTGCTCCCAAGGTTGGCAACCGTGTTGAGTAGAGTCATGTAGGTTCCTCCAATCTTGGGGTCGGAGACCTTGGCGAAGAAAGCCATCTGTGCCACGAACATCACGTTGCTGACAACCTGCTGCAGCAGAAAGAAAAACAACAACACAGCCCAGAGGAGCGGCGACAGCACAGGCTCGTCTCCCTTACGAGGAGGGATGCTCCAGAGGATCACGGCGAAGGCAACGTTGATCGCAAGACGGTAGGGAAACACTCTCATGAACGCTGCGAGTGGGCGAGGGCCGGAGGTGTACTTGGAGACAGCAGCAGGTAGGAAGAGAGCGATGGGCGTAACGGCAACGCCCAGCAGCGCCATCGTCTCCTTCTTCACCCCCTTCTCCTGCAGCTTCAGGCCAGTCACTGCATCTGCTGCAGCAAAGGCAACTTTGGACAGGAGCAGGACGGATCCAAGCCTCCTCACTGCTGGCTGTTTGACTACCCTCCACATGGCCATGTAGGTCTCTTTGACGCCCATCTCCTCCTCTACCTGCTCCCCCTCGCCACTGTTCTGCAGCGAGTAGTCCCCTCGGTCGTCCGAAGCAGGGATTCTTTCTGCAGACGATTTCTCTGGTTTGAACAGCCACACGTAGAGGGTGGTGGCAAGGAACACCCATCCCCAGAACGCCATAAACCCGCCCAGTGTGATGAGCCCTGCCTCCTGGGGCGGGTAGCCCATCGCCCGCCGCGCGTACGCGTTGCTGAACTCCTTGTTGTTGAGAGCCATGAAGATGATGAAGCTGAGGATGTATCCCAGAGTTTGACCCGTTGAGTTGCACGTGGAAGCCCAGCCGACGTTCTTCCTTGACAGGATCGTGAGGGCCCACCCATCGACTGCGATGTCCTGCGTCGCCATCAGCAAGTAGAGTACGAAGAAGCACACGGTGAGCTCGGAGACCGCAATGCTGCCCTTGCCGTCGGCTCCGATCAGAAAGTTGATGGCAGAGGAGGAGAAGACCATGATAACGCCGCAGACGAGTTGCGCGGGAATGAGCCATGACCGCCTCCTGCCCACTCTTGCATCGTAGCAGCTATCGACAATGGGTGCCCAGAGAAGTTTGAGGGAAAAGGGCCAGGAGACTAGGGAGAAGATGCTCTGCTGCGAGTAACTAGCTCCTCTCTCTTGCAGGAGGAGAGGAACGCTTGCTGCAAGTCCCATGGGCACCCCTTGCAGGGTGTATAGGAGGAGGAGGAGGAGGATGTTCTCCACGTCTCCTCGCAGATCTTGAAGTGAAGACGCTCCTTGCAGAGCATATCTCTCCTTTCCGTCATCGTTCTTGCCGCCTCTCTTGCGCATTGGGATCGTCTTCTCTGCAGTCTGGTCTGTTCTGGACATGCCCTTCCTCGAGATCATTCAGCACAAGCTTCAAAGCAAGAGACAGAGACAGTCGCGACAATCACGGCACAGCTTGCCCTGATCGTTTCCATGCATGATGATTACCCGACGAAGGTCTGCGTTGCTTCCTCCCCTCCCTTCTTCTACCTCCCTAATGCTGTTCGCTCCTCCCTGCTGTACCCGAAGAACTTTCCTTTCTAGTCTAGACACCGTAGTGAATACGACGCGGCCCGGCCCAGTGATCGGACGGTCACCCGGGGCCGGGGGGCGCGAGGCGCCGGGCCGCCCGGCCGCCCGGCCCGTCCGATCCGACGGCGATGACATGCCAGGGTACGCCCCGGCACCAGGCAGAACGTTTCCCAACATGGCCCTGAAGATCATCACTGTCATGTAGGGGACTTTGAACTTCCGAGTTCCGCACAGCGGCAACCGTGTGAAGGTTACTGAAGGCGGATGACGGTATGGGCCCGAGTTACTATCAGTATTGAATCCTCCGGGACCTCAGCATCACGGTCACATGTTTTTGACAATGATGGCCCGGAATACCGGACCTCGCTCGGAGCACAGCCTGCGGCAAACTGCAAGCAGCAGCACAGCGGAAGCCTGACTCGGATCGGAGGGCCGCCGACGGTCACCGGGTAGTAACAGTGGCATATCACCGCGCGGCGGTCATCGCCAGCACTGATGGACTCTTCAATGTGGCAGGACGATGCGTTGCGCTTTCTGTGGTGGCTGGCGGATCGCTCGGCGAACAAGGAAACGGCAGCGGCGCTGGATGGCCCGGAGTCTCTGAGTCGGCCTCGCACTGAAGACGTCTCAGGTGATCCGACTTGCAAACGCATCCGGTCCAGCATGATCTTTCGTCAGCTCCAGGCCTCCCACGGTCCTTCGCTCGCGGCTGCCATCAACTTGTGATCGCGCCGCGGGTGCATTCCGGTATGCGTCTCACAAGTTCCTTCGGCGGCGGCCACAGCGACCGTACATCGCTGGCATGGCGCGGAGGAATTCAGTGTCCGGGCCTGCGTGCAGTTATGTGAAGGCCCTCATCCGACGCCGGTTAACGGTTTGGGACAGCAGTCGGCAGGATGATTGGGTTTGGTTCTCGCTGTCTTTTCTCTTCTCGCCGTTTGGCCTGTGTGACAGTGTCAGGGTCAAGCCTCCTCGACTCTCCTGATTGTCCGACCGTCCTCGTACTGGCAAGTTTTTAACTTAACTTTGAGTAAAGACTCAGTGACTCCGGCGCCGATGATTGCCGCACTGCAAGCCTCGCCAGGGCCCGTGGGCAGCCTGCGGCCTGCCGCGTGCGGTGTGGCCAGAGTACTGAGCCTCGGAGGGCGCCGGCAAGCGGTCTGCGGGCTAACAGCGGTAGCGCTGAGGTGTGATCACCGTTTACGGTTGAGGTCGGAGGTCATATCGGTAATCGAGCCTCCGGGAGTCAGATGATCATCACACTTGGACTCAAGTTAGCATCGGCAGTACCTTAAGGCGGCTTCAGTTATCATTGGCATCGTTGACTGGATCAGTTCGCACATCGATGATGGCACGCCGCGCTGACTCCTGTAGTGTCCGCGGCTGCCCAGCAACTGCACCACACTGCCAGGGAAGCGCAGAACGTCACGAGTCCGATGAGCCTGCAGGAGTGAAAAAAAGGAGGCCAACACGGCTGGTCAATGATGAGAAGGAAAGCCTCGGGCCCACGTTCAGGAGGGGCATGCTGAGCATACGCGAGACGATACTCGTGTATCTTCCTCTAGAGATGAGCAAAGAGAGATAGGATGGAATAAAACAGATAGGTCGCAGCTTTCGACTGATTTCCAAGCAGGTACTTGTGCAAATTCTTGTAAGCAAACACTGAAAGCTTCCAAGCAAGCGCGATCGACAAACTATGTGTGAAATAACATGCTTCATTATTGTTCTCGAGTCTACATATTGTACACTGTACACACCACCACGGGCGTCGGTTCCGAGGTCTTGCCTTCGACTCCTCCTTCACAGCCTCATCGCCTCTCCTGTCGCGCTGTACACCACCGGTCGCTCCGCGCTCTCCAGCAGCCTGATGCAGTGCCTCAGCGCTTCAAGCTGCCTCCGCCGCGAGGGCCCGCTTGATCTCGTCGAGGCCAGGCAGTGGCTTGGCACGGGCTTAGGGGACGGGCGGGGAGAGGAAGGAAGGTCGTCAGAGTCAGGGGCGGGGGAGGAGGGCTGGTGGATGGAGGAGGAGGGGAGGTCGCTGTCGGGGAGAGTGAGCATGGTCATGCTTGTGGAGGCTGTAAAAGTGAACGAAGGCGGCGACGGAGGAGCTTTCAAAAAGTCCGTCAGTCTGTTTTTACTACCTAACGACCGCGTGACAGTTTGAAGCACAAGGTACACGGATGCCATCTTCTGATTACTTTGTACCAAGTCACAAGACAGTCCAACTTTTTACTATACACACAACCGACCTTTTACTACCTATGGTAGTAAACAGAACCTCTTGAAAGCGCTCCTCCGTCGCCGCCTTCGTTCACTTACAGCCTCCACAAGCATGACCATGCTCACTCTCCCCGACAGCGACCTCCCCTCCTCCTCCATCCACCAGCCCTCCTCCCCCGCCCCTGACTCTGACGACCTTCCTTCCTCTCCCCGCCCGTCCCCTAAGCCCGTGCCAAGCCACTGCCTGGCCTCGACGAGATCAAGCGGGCCCTCGCGGCGGAGGCAGCTTGAAGCGCTGAGGCACTGCATCAGGCTGCTGGAGAGCGCGGAGCGACCGGTGGTGTACAGCGCGACAGGAGAGGCGATGAGGCTGTGAAGGAGGAGTCGAAGGCAAGACCTCGGAACCGACGCCCGTAGTGGTGTGTAAAGTATTGTATACTGTATGTAAACTATTACTCGAGAAAAATAATGAAGTATGTGACATGAATGAACAATTTTGACCGAGCAACATGTTATTCTCAGAAGTTACCAGTGACGTCTGACATGCTCAGCCAAGGACGTTGAATCTATTGAGCTGAAGGATCATGCTTTGTTTTTCAAAATCACAATGGGCTTTCATGCACGCGTTCAAAATTCTGCCTGATTCTGCGCAAAGGTCTGGTCAAGGAAGACTTGGGAGGTACGGAGGAGGATGACGTCTGGTAATTGACAGTAATTGACAGGGGGTGAGAGTCATCAGGAGCAGTGGAGGAGGGTTCAAGGTTACAAATGAGGATTGTAATTATTGGAATGAGTGAAGGAGGTGCTAAAAAAGTCCTTCATGCAAATATCGCACATCATCTTGCTGGAGCATGTCGATAATACACTGGACACATAGAAAGATTAGTTCACTGTCAAGTCAGACGCGATCCGAATCGGTTGCCCCAGAGTAGGTATCAACCTAGTGAAATGTGGCGCTTGTTTGCTTTCGCCCCCAAGATGATCAACAAGTTACAATCCAGCCACAGTCAAGACCTGTTGGGCTCGCCAATACTCAGTTTCTCAAGCTTGTAAGTCAGTCATCACCAGCGCAGATGCAGCGAAGTAAATGTGACTGGTAAACTGCTTTTATTACGATCTACAATACACTAACATTGCACAGTGTTCTGCACGATAGCACACTTTTCAACCCACCCTCATTACATCCTCATCGCCTCGCCTGTCGCGCTGTACACCACCGGTCGCTCCGCGCTCTCCAGCAGCCTGATGCAGTGCCTCAGCGCTTCAAGCTGCCTCCGCCGTGAGGGCCCGCATGATCCTCTCCAAGGGCTTGCAAGAGCAGTCTTGGGGGATGCGGGGGAGGACGGGCGGGGAGAGGAAGGAAGGTCGTCAGAGTCAGGGGCGGGGGAGGAGGGCTGGTGGATGGAGGAGGAGGGGAGGTCGCTGTCGGGGAGAGTGAGCATGGTCATGTCGTGATGGCTGTTCTGGCACCGAAGACGGACGATATTTAAAAGGATACTACGTTTTGTTTACTACAGGAGGTCTTGGCTGTTTCGGGTAAAAAAAGAATTTCCAAACCCATGTGACATCTGTGGAACGATGCGATTTTGCTAGCCATGGAACTTCCGATAGTGTGCACAAACTGTTCAAACGCAAGGACTCCGGGATCCTCCGAATCAGGTCACGCGAGCTCCGGGACGCGTGGCATCCATGTTCATGATCACTAATTTGATCCTAACTGACGATCTTTTTTACCACCGATATCAACGAATTGGATAACGCCAGTCTGACGGCCACACCCGCAGGGTCAGCTGCGGCTCATCACGGTGCCGGCCGCTGGGGCATGCCCGAGCGCTGAGTCACCGCCGCCCGGCCGCGCGGCGGGCCGGGCCCGGCCGCCGGCCGGCCCTGGCGCTTCTTCTGGTCAAGCCCGCCTCGACAAAGGATCAGGGGCAGGATGAAGAGGGAGTAGGCTATGGGCGGGATGAGGAAGAAGACGCAGCGGGGGAGAGCGTAGCGAGAGCGAGGAGGCAGAGGAGTGAGGGATGCTCTTCTCTCAGGCGCTCGAGATGCTGCGTGCGTGGGAGCATGGCAAGAGTCTGCTGAGCCCGATGCTCTCAAGCTCTTCGGTGCTGTTCCTCTCCATGCGGAAATCACCCGCGGTGTACGGCTTCATCTGTGGAGCCATAGCTCTCCGGCTCATGCCGACACTTACTTGCACGCTCATCATCCCACTCGCTATCATCATGAGATGCGCTCCTTCGGTCAAGGAAGGTGAGGAAGATGCTGAGGAGAGGAGAGCGAAGAAAGTGGAGCTGCTATCTTCAACAAATCGCAAGCCCGAAGAATTAGCAGAGGAGGAGGTTGAGGATCAGACCTTTGTTGAGAATGAGGAGAGGGACGCTAGCAAACTCGAAGAAGAGCTTCAGCTCCTGATGAGATTGGTTCATCGTGACTTCATCGCGACATGGTTCAGGTATTGCGTAAAGGGTGGTCTGTTTTGATTCATGATTCTGCTATGCCAGAACATACATTTCTACGGATCCCGACTTCTTGGAGCATGCCAAGAGATTGATTTCCGTCTTCGTTCACCGCATCTCGAAGCGCCTGTCTGCCATGAACACTTGTCAGTGGTTGTTCTTCATCGAGTACTCCCTCGCCGTCCTGCGAGAGCATATCCGCTGTCATGGTATGAGCATGCTCAGGATGTGTGAGAACCGAAGTTCTGATGGAGAGATCAAGAAGGAGTTTGAGGTCAAAGTTTGTATCCTCCGTGTGCCGGACCTGAAAAGTTTGTTCGCAAGGGTCCCAAGTTTTGTGCCGACACCTTGCTGGAGGAGTACAAGAAATGCGTCACTTATCCTTTCTCTCAAGAGCTTCATCCTGGTAAGTTGTCGTCTTTGACATGTACCTTTAGAATGGCTGAGATGTTGTGTTGGACAGGAGCCGATCATATTGAAAACGAGATGAAGATGTGGAGGAATGTTTTGCATCACGTTCTCAACACCTTTCTCCCGGGTGAGCCAAAACTAAGATTGGAGCATCCAAATAATGGCAGTGTTTGTAGTGTAGACTTGCAGACGATGATGATGATGATGATGGAGATGATGGAGATGATGATGATGGAGATGATGATGATGATGATGATGATGAGGATCAGGAGGAGGAGGATGGAGATGATGATGATGATGATAATGATGATAATGATGATGATGATGGAGATGATGATGATGATGGAGATGATGATGGAGATGATGATGGAGATGATGGAGAGGAGGACAAAGAGGAGGAGGACGAGTAGGATGGATATGATGATTATATGAGGATGGAGGATGCAGAGTCGGAGATGACGATATTCTGTATCAGTTGACTCAGGTCAAGAGGAGTACGTCTCAGAGATTCAACGGTGATTCCTCCTCGTCCTCCTCGTCCTTCCCCCGCCCCCCTCGTCCTCCTCGTCCTCCTCGTCCTCCTCGTCCTCCTCGTCCTCCTCGTCGTCCTCGTCCTCCCCCTCGTCCTCGTCCTCGTCCTCGTCCTCTTCGTCCTTCTCCTCCTCCTCCTCCTCCTCCTCCTCCTCCTACCCCCTTTCCACCATTCCCCTGATCCCCCATCGTCTTACCTTCAACTTCGCCGCAGCGGGGCGTTTGCGATCATTCGAGAGATCCTAACGACGAAATGTCTTCCGTTGGTACCCCATCCTCCATAACTCCTGCTCCTCTCCTTGACCGTATCCTTCCAGCTTACCCGCGCGCTGTCTGATCCAGACTTCATCAACGGGATCCTGATAGCTATCTGTAAAGGGAGCGAATCCTCACAGCAGCACGAGGAAATTGTTAGAAAGGACGGAGAGGAACACGTCGGCCATGGCGAGGCGAAGGGGGATGAGGAGGAGGACGATTACGATGTCAATTGTGCTCCTTCGAATTCTGGTAGAGATCTGAGGTCGCAGGTGATTGTTTCTTCCTTTCATCCCTCCCTGCCCCACTTTGCTACTCCTTGCTCCAAGGTCTTCCCTTTGCTTCCTCCGTCCTTTTCGTCCCCGTCCCCCCGGCCACCTCCTCCCCTCCCCCAAATCCAGCATCACCCTTCCCTTGCTTCTCCTCTACTCACACGAGACTTCTCCTCTTGCCTGCTCACGTATCCTCTTACTTACTCTGATGCCCAGCATACCGCAAGAGGTTCTGGGCACAAACGAGCGGCAAGCCTCTGACTTTGCGCTTCCTATTTTGCTCATTCCTGTTCAGGAATCGCTCGATTGCCTTGCAGACTCTCTCGACAAGGAGGAGGAGGAGGAGGAGGAGGGAGGACTGTTGCAAAGGCTTCCAAAGATTCCACGTAGGAGTGCGAGCGAGGAGCCCAAGGGCCGACAAGCGCTGGCGGAAGTGACGAGAGCGGAAATGAACAATGCGCGAGTGAGTGTCTGATGGCTATGATGATGATGATGATGATGATGGAAGAGATGATGATGATGATGATGAAAGAGATGATGATGATAATGATGATGATGATGATGATGATGATGATGATGATGATGATGATGATGATGATGATGATGATGATGATGATGATGATGATGATGATGATGATGATGGTGGTGGTGGTGATGATGATGATGACGATGATGATGATGATGATGTTTAAGTTTGAATTCTCATTGCTGCAGGTTCAGATGAACGATTGTGAGAGAATCGCAAACAAGAAGGAAAATAATCCAAGCTCACCACCTGACTTTGGACTTCCACTTCCCCACTTTTGCCTTCCTGTTCATGCCGAAATTGTTGAAGCAAAGGTCTACCATCTCCTCCTCCTCCTCCTCCGCATCATCGTAACCAATATGTACTGAAAAAGTTTCCAGGTTGTGACCGCAGGGGAGGGCAAGCAGGAAGCGGCCGCGGCAAGCTTGCAGGTATGAGACGCGGCCAGTAGAGGGGGGGGGAGGAGGATGAGGTTGAGAGCTCTGCCAGTGGTCGAGGACGGAAAAGTTTGCAAGCTACACCATCCTAGTTCGCTATGAGGACGCGCGATCAACCAGGGTATCGAGACGCTTCATGGTGAGGTCAAGGAGGAAGATCAGGAGAGGCAGGATGGTGGGGGGTTTGGGGGGGAATCAGAGGGCAGAGGGCAGAGGGCAGTTGGACGAAACAGAAGAGACGAATGTGAAGGAGAGGAGGAGGGCATGAGGAAGAGAGCAAGAGGAGAGGAGGAAACTTTACAAGGGAGAGTGTGAACGGGGGAGGAGGAGGAGGATGCAGAGGCAGGTGAGCAGGAAGGAGATGTGAGTTGTTGGCAGGACTTCTCGAAGTTGCACAAGATGCTCGAAGACTCGCACAGGGGGATGCGCGTCCGACTGCCGGTGAGGGCGAGAGACGAGATCAGAGTCAGGACAGGAGGAGGGGCTGAACGAGGAAGAGGACGAGGACGAGGACGAGGACGAGGACGAGGACGAGGACGAGGACGAGGACGAGGACGAGGACGAGGATATGATGGGGAGGACAAGGATACGAGAGGGAGGACGAGGGGATGGGAGGAGGGAGGGTCGGGAGACTGGGAAGGAATGGGAGATAAGATGGATGAGGGGAGGGTAAGGGGAGGAAGGGTGAGGAATGGATGATGAGGGGAAAAGGGGAGGAGCAACAGCGTTGTAGTTGGAGGCGGGGCATGAAAGAGGTGGGGAAGTGACGAAGTCGTCAGCCGAAGCATATCTTCTCCATCGTTCCATTCTCGGAAAGTTTCCTTCAGGTCCTGAAAGAACTCAAAGATTCTTTTGCTCATGTTCTTGTAGGAGAGGCAAACAGAGCTGCAGAGATACCTGGACAAGATCCTCATGGTCTTTCAGCCCTTCTCCTCGTCCCCTTTGTAGTTTCTCTCCCTTCGCTCGATATTCCTCCCTCCCTTTCCTGCTGCCTCTCCTGTTCCTCCTCCCCTCTTTCCTCTCTTCCTCCTTCTGCTCTAGTTGCTTCCTGCGGCTGGATCCTCTCCCTCCCTCCCTCCCTCCCTCCCTCACTCACTCACTCTCTCCTCTCCTTCTCTCCCTTCCTCCTCTCCCTCCGTGTACATCCTCCGTCCTCGCCTTATTTACACCTCAACTCTGTTTGCAGGAGGAGGAGCTCGCCAAGTCGGAGATCTTGGCTGCTTTCTTAGCTGGGCCGCACAAGGATGGAATTGATCACTTCGCGCACATGGTGGAAAACAGGAAGAAGAAGGTTAGGGAACGTGAGCAAGTCTGCAAACAGGGAGAAGGAAGAGGGAGAAGGCAGGCGGGGAGAGGAGGGAAGAAGAGAGGGGAAGGGGGACAGGAGGGCTGTGGAAGGAGGAGGTGGACGGATGCAGACAGAGGGTGGGAGAGGAGAGAAAAGTGATGAGAAGATTCAGACATGAGGAAGATGGTTGGGAGGGCAGGGGAAGAGAGTGAAGGAAAGGGGGGAGGGGAGGGGGGAGGGCAGGAGCAAGTTTGACATTCAGCAGGGCAAGTGGAGGTCGTTTGCTCCTCAGCTCACACGCGGATCGAAGGTGAGCAAGGGAGGATGGAGGGGAGAGGGGGGGACGACGAGGGTATGGACGAAGACGAGGAGAGAGCGCAGGAGGAAGAGCAGGAGCAGGAGCAGAAGGCGGGCGGAAAGGAGGGTAGAGCAGGAAAGAGGAGGAGGTGAATGACGCGGGTTTGATTGCAGGAGAGCAGCGAGCAGCAGAACGAGGCCCAGGCTCGTCCAGCAGACACGAAGAAAGTCTTGCAGGATGAGGATGAGGTATGAAAGGAGAGATGAAGAGACGACGAGGCAGTTTGAAAGAGAGGAGGATGGCGGGCGGAGGGGGGGGAAGGGAGAGGGGGGCATGAAGAGGTGGAGAAGGTCTTGGAGGTGGAAGTGGTCCTGGAAGAGGTTGGCGAGGTAGTATGGGAGGAGGAGGTGGCGAGGTAGTACGGGAGGAGGAGGTGGCGAGGTAGTACGGGAGGAGGGGGCAGTTGGAGGAAAGAGCTTTCAGAAGGAGGCTAAATTTGCAAATAGGTCCAGCAGGAGGAGCGACAAGCGAATGCGGAGCAGGGGGAGGACGAGCATGCCACTGAACACACGGAGGAGGACGGCAATCAGACGTCCCCACATCAGGCAGTGAAGATGGAGGAGCAGGAGGAGCATCAGGAGCAGGAGGAGCAGACAAAGGAGACGCACGTGGCCTCGTCTCCTGACCCTGAGCCCCATCAACCGGCGGAGAGGAAGCATGCGATGGAGGAGGAGAGGGCGAAGGGCGGGAGGAGCAGGACAAGGAAGGCAAAACACCGACGAGGGAGGAGCATGGAAAGAATGTCTGACCTGCGCACGGGGACTCTTGCCCTTGCTTTCTTCGGTGATAACCTATCCTCCCTTCTTACCTCCCTCCCTGCCTCTCTCCCCTCTCTCTCCCTCCTTCTCTCCTTCTCTCCTCTCCCCCTCTCTCTTCCCCCTTCTCTCCTTCTCCCCTCTTCCCCCTCTCTCCCCCTCCTTCTCTCCTTCTCCCCTCTCCCTCCAATCTCTCCCTCCCTTAGCATGTTTGTGTACTCACAGTTGCCTGCAGATGTTCTAGACGAGCTCCTCGCCCTCTCGCAAGCCGGTTGGCTGAGGAAACATGCTCGCATCCTCCTCCGCCGTCTCCTCAACTTGACCGTACACTCTCCATCTCTTCTACCCTTCCGCCTCCTCCCACCATCTTCCTTCTTCCGTGTTTCTCCTTCTCTTCTAACTCCCTCTCTCCTTCCTCCCCCTATCCCTTCTTTCCCTCCTCCCTCCCTCCCTCCCTCCCTTCTCTCAATCCTTCTTCCTCTCTCCTCCCTCCCGCTCTCCCTCCCTTCCCCTCGTCGTCTGATTGACTCACCAGTCCTATGATCTCTCCGTGGAATCAAAGTTGCTGGAGCTGGTGGAGAAGGCGTGTCAAGAAGAGGTGAGTGAGGATCGCAGGGAGGGGGGAGGAGGGAGGGGGGAGGGGAAGAGGAGGCAGGAGGCAGGAGGCAGGAGGCAGGAGAGAGGGAGGAGCCATGAGGAGGGAGGAGGGAGGAGGGAGGAGGGAGGAGAGAAACATTCATCACGCAGTTTGCAGACCATGGTGGCGCTCTTTCGGCGCATCAGGATGGCGTTCTGGCCCGAGGGAGAATCTTTCTCCCTCTCCCCTCCTCGCACTCAACAGCAACGGGAGGAGCGCGCAAGAGACTGCGAGCAAGCACTGAAGTTGCTCTTCACTCGCCCCCCTCTCCCCATGCTTCTTGGACGGTCAGGGTGCGATAGGTAACGCCCCGTCCTCCTCCTCTTCATCCCTCCTGAGCAGCCCCCTCCCCCCCCCCTCCCCAACCTTTTCCTTCTTTTTCCTGCTACTCCTGGATGAGGCTTGCGCCTGCTCCTGCTCCTGCTCCTGCTCCTGCTCCTGCTCCTGCTCCTGCTCCTGCTCCTGCTCCTGCACCTGCTCCTGCTCCTGCTCCTGCTCCTGACCTTGCATTCCATCCTCTTCCTTCTCTTTCTCTCTTCGCCCCCGCCCCTGTCCTCTTCCTCTCATTTTCCTCCATCGCCTTCGCTGATTCAGCCAGCAGAGCAGCGATGCGCGTCTTTCAGATGCTTCAGACCGGCACTCTCAATCGCCATGTCGTCCTCGTCCTCCTCGATGCCGTCTTTTGCTCCATCTTCCCAGAAGTCCGCTCCTCCTCGTCTTCCTCCTCCTACAACCTCGATGGTCCCAAAGCAAGCTGTCCCTTCCTACCGAGCCGGGGACAAGAAGGTCGGGAGCAGGCGCTGGAGCAGGCGCTGCTGCAGGCCATGGCGCAGGTGAGAGATCGAAAGTGTTCGCTTGTGTCGGCCCTCATGGGCGATTGTTCATGATCTCACAATGTCTTCCATCACGACGGTGTTGTCTTTTCTTTTCTTTTCTTTTCTTTTCTTGTCTTTTCTTGTCTTTGTCGTGTTGATTGCATGTCTTTGTATGTGATGAGAGGAGTGAATGTCTTGCAGGTGGAGGATCTCACTGCACAGCTCCAATCCCTCAACATCGACCCGCTGCCCTTGCAGATGAACTCAGATGCTTCGCAGAGCGCTGCATGAAGACATGTGAAGAGCTGTGAAGGGCGGTGCCATCAACGGATCTACTAGGGTACAACATGTGACATTATTCTCTGACAAGAGGATGTATTGCTGAACTGATGATCAAAAGTTCTTTTCATCACAAACGCACATTCACATCATCTCAATCTTTTTTTCTCTTCATGTTTGTGCATCTCTCGTCTCTCCTTCACCAAATGCGATTTCCAAGTCGCCGATCGAATCTTGCAGCCGTGGGGAGAGGAACTTGCGAGTCAAGTTGGGACCTGACGAACACTTCAATATCCCTGCTCCTGCTCCTGCTCCTGCTCCTGCTCCTGCTCCTGCTCCTGCTCCTGCTCCTGCTCCTGCTCCTGCTCCTGCTCCTGCTCCTGCTCCTGCTCCTGCTCCTGCTCCTGCTCCTGCTCCTGCTCCTCAGCTACTCTCTCTCCTTAGGCTCACACTCTCATCCGGTTCCTCCTCCTCCTTCGCTTCCTAGCCACCCTCTCCCTCCTCGCCTGTTCACCCCTCTTCTATCGGCCTGGTCCCCTCTTCCTCCTACCTTCGATTCTCATCTTTCCCTCCCTCCCTCCTCACCTCGCAAGAATTTCTCCCACGTCGTCGTGCCTCCTAGGATTCGTCTGCGATAACTTCAAGTGGGAGCCTGCCACAAGACAAGTCAGCATCGACCTCTGCCTCCATAGCTCCTCTCCCCTCCCCCCTTACCGATCTCCGAGTTCGCCGTCCTCCATCGATCGTCAGGTCTTATGGCGTCCCTTCCATGGCTGCCGCTCGACGCATGCGGCCACAACCTGCTGTCCTGCGCTCCTTCATACGGTAGATGAGAGTCGACGCAGGCAGCACGTCCGCTGGCCGGCCGCCGACCCACCTGAGCGACAGAGCCAAGTAAGGGGGAGGGGGAGAGGGAGGAGGGCGGAAAGGGAAAGGGGAAGGGAAGAGAAGGAGGCAGGGGGAAGGGGATGAGGGAGAAGGAGAGAGGGGGAGAGGGGAAGGTAGAAAGCTGAGCGACTCTACCTGGAGGCTCATGAAGTGGTTGGTTGCCTTCTCTTGCAAGCTTACATCCTCGTTGCAGTTTCGACCGACTGGCGGCTGGATATTGTTGACATCCTCCCGCCTTCTCGGCATCGCATCGGCACTGAACTGACTGCCTCTCGCGAAGAGCGAGAGCGAGTCCAGATCGTCGAGCCTCCTCTTCTCCTGACTCTCCCCGTCACCCAGCACTTGCTTCCCTGGCAGCAGCGATAAGAGGAGACAACAACCTCGTCCTCGTCCTCACCCATGACAGCGGGAGCAGATGGAGGAGGCATACCGTGGTGCCCTCGCCTGCTCCAGTTCGCATGCTGCGATGCGTGCGACGATCCACGGCCCCCAAGGAAGAAGTTGTTGGAGCTGATGAAGTTGCCGTCGCTCCTCTGGCGATACTGACGGTCAGTCACGTTGGCTGCATGCAGGTTCTCCTTGCTGTTGGAGGAGGAAGCTCGGAAGTAACTCCTGAACACAACGAAGTTGTTGGCCTGGGGCTCGAAGTCCATCAGGGAGAAGTGCTTTCTAAGAAAGCTCAGGAGCTTTGGCGACGGCCTGTCACACATGGCGTTCAGCCAGACTTGCGACACGTTACGCACATCATCAACCTGTCGTAGCCGAGCATGTGCGGCTGTACCTTCTCCCTTGCCAGCATCTCGTCGAACAGCTGCCTGCCTATCCCTCTCTTCTGCAAGGACTCGTGGACGTAAAAGTCAAGCACGCACATCGGCTCGATCTCATGCATCTTGTCCGCAGAAGCATCTCGGATGAACAGATGCTTCTTCCCCACTTTCAAGATCCCGTTCACCGTCCTCTCTGACCTATGAATGTACAGCCTGTGATCGCTACACAGCAACTTCTGCATCGTTGTGATAACCGCGCCCAGCCCTTGCGCGACTGCCGATCGCTTGCCGAAGTTGTCGATGATGACCTCAAGAGCATTCTTGTGCCGCTGTGACGATCGCCGTATCGTCTCTGCATCTACAACTGCGCATGCTCGTCAGGTGGAAGAAGAACGATGGGGTGAGTTAGGATCACCAGTGATGTGTGATGGTAACAATCGAGGGACTGGAACTTCAAGCATCTTCCCATTATAGTTGCCGTTGCTGTCAAACTCCATGGCGCGAAGGTGCCACCTAGTCCTTCCCTCCGGCAAGTGTTTTGACTGGCTGCCTTCCTCTTTCGTTGAGTTCCCTGTTAGCTTGCCCCGTCCCTTCCTGCCCTGTCCTGCCCTGTCCTGCCCTCTGTCCTGTCCTGTCCTGTCTCCTCCACTGTCCTCCTCACTCTTGCATCTTTGCTCCTGCACTACCTGCTACAATTCGAAACATGCTGTGCATTCCTGCCATGTTGACTATACGTTATGGTGGTGGCTCTTTGCCAACACCCCAAAGGTACCTAAATATCTCCTATCGCTGACATTAGGAAATGTCTCACCTTACCTGTACCATCCACCATGAAACATTGACTATAAAATATTCAGAATTCTATAGTCAAAAGGTTCGTTGAGCGTTGCTTGCTGGGGTTTCCCGCCTTATGCCGCATGAGACTTTCAGGATGGCGAAAATGAACAGGCGGCGTGTTCCTGCATGCTGAACTCCTGCTTCATCTGATGGAAACCAAGTTGAAAGCAGCAGGCCGGCAGGATCTGCCATGGCGAGGATGTACTGTCATGGTATCGCACACATTGAATGTGTTTCTTCACCTGATCTACATCAACACAGATTAACAGCAACAGCATTCCTGTGGATTTTGAGTATCCTGCACATGAGGACTTCTTCAAGAACGTACAAGAGATGCTACCATTCCAGAACTGGTGTGCCACCTGCGACCAGCAGCTAATTTTCGAAAAGATCATGATACAGTCTATTGACATGGTAGAAGATGTCGTTTTGACACTCAAGTTCTCTGCGGAAACAACGGACTCTGCCGGCAATCAGAAGAAGCATGCCGTGTGGCTTACTGGAGCCTCGTTGCATGTTTTGGTGGTGATCACGAGTGAAGAGACGCGCAAGCAGCATGCGGTGCTCGTCGCCTGCCCTCGAACAAGCATAGGGCGCGCATCGTTTCTTGAGCTGCCGATGATAGGGATAGACTCTCTGGGGAACGTTGACGGTGCACCGGCGAAGATGCTCCGAGACCTGGGGATTCAGTTGCAGCTGGACATGCTGCTCGACATCACGCATCTGTCGAGTGAGGAGGGACGAGGGATTTTCACGTCGCCAGACAGTCGAGATGAGTTCATACGAATTCTTTTGCACTCAGCTACCATGCCAGAAGCAGAAATCGCACGCATGTACGATGAATGTGGAGGTTCCAATGAATCTTCGTGTAAGGTGCACATATTGCCGCTCAGCGACATGTGGTGATGCGAATGCCTCCTGACATGCGACACCGAGTAATTTCATTGCAACAGGAAGTCAACCAACGATGCCAAGGCGTTGAGTGCGCTCTGCCTGTACCTGAATTTAGTTGCTGTGAATGGTTTGCCGGCTGATGGAACTTCTGTCACCCCTTCTTGAACATGCCGAACAAAATCCATAGTTTCACTTGGCAGTGTATACCTTGTAGATATGTTGCAACTGCAATCAACTTCGAATGCATGATTTCTAACACTGATTTTGGAATGTATTCTCGTCTATCATGATTGTTTGAGACTTTGGAGCTTGCTGAGAGCGCATCTCTCTTCACAAGGATTATTGTGCACTCTGCCTCTGGCTCCAACAAAGCGAGGACTACTCTGCAGAAGAGGGGAGCAATTAGTAGATCTCATTCATTACCAACATTACGAATTAGGTTTGGAGGGCCAAAGGACTATATCCATCAACATATCATTGTCATCACGGGGGACATTCTCGATCACAAGTTCATCCAGCGTGACCCCAACCAAGAAGATCTTCTTAGAGCTAAAAAGTTGTTTCACCTTGGACAAGTACCGATCATAGAAACCGGCCCCCTGACCCAATCGTCCATTGTTGCGATCAAATGCAAGCCCAGGGACAATGACCAAGTCAAGATCGGAGTTGGGATCCAGGGCCTCGAGCCTTGCAGGGCCATCCCGTGGAGGTTCTGGGATGTTCCATTTGCCCGGTGGGAATGAGTCAACATCTTGAATAGACTCAGCCTTGAGCATCACCATCGCGCTGTCCCTGACTGATTCGACACGTGGAAGGTAGCAGCTCTTACTATCCATGAATATTTTTTCGAGTATTGGTCTTGTGTTGAACTCTTTTGGCATTGAGAGGAAGCAAGCTACACCCTTGCTTTCTTTGTATTGAGGTAGTTCAAAAAGCATGTTTGCAACTTTTTGACTTGATTGAAGTATATAATCATCACTCAGAGTTGATAACTTCGCCCTGAGCTGTTTGCGGGTCGCCTGTTTTTCTTCCTTCACGTTTCCTTCGATGGACATTGTCGAAAATTTGAACGAGCTACAGAGCCTGGTCGATTTCCTGTCTACACAGAGTTGGAGAAAGAGAAAAACGGGAACGCGCGTCAAGCGTTTACTTGGAGGAGTTCGCCATAAGCTCAGTCCTAAGCTGTGCAGCGAATTCCTCGTTGATATCATCGTTGTCCCAGTCGTCCGCCCAGTACTGTTTGTCCTCAGGCTCCTCTTTCCTTTCCATCCATCCCTCGTCCTCAAACTCCTCAAACTCGTCGTCCTCCTCCACAATCTCGTTCACCTGCTGCTTTGTTTCCTCCTTGGCGTTCTTGGACATTTGCGCAAGGACACCTGTCTGCCAGCTCTGACGCCACCCCTACCCTACATCTTTTAGTCCTCGACTCATGACCCCTAGTGGTCATGGATAGCTGTACATGATGTTTTAGTTATATAATGTGAGTAATCCTTTAGTAACGGAAGATAACGCGAACATGGAATTTACATGGAAACAACATATTTTTCTTCTAAATTTTCAACCTTTGATACAAAAGCAAGAATATTGATTTCAAAGTAGAAATACCTGACCTCGGCACCCTCCTGCTTGCTCTCTCCTCGTTCAAGACCTTCTCCTCTGCTGCTACAGCTGAAACTTCTCCTACCAGTCTCAACATACCTCTCCTGCCCTCGCCTGTCCTCTCTCTGCCTGCGCCCTTGCGTGACTTGGAAGAAGCTCTGCCAGTTTCATCGACAAGTGCGAGCGAGTTCGTTGTTTGCGCCCTTGAGGCTTGCTCAATCCTTGCCCAGTAAGGATACAGTGAGCTGAGCAAGTGACGACGGATAAAACTGAAAGCTTAAGCTGTCCTCTAGATCATTGATACTGCGAAAACTCTGAGATCGCAGCATCGAAAATGTCCAGAATTGTGTACGGCCTCAAGTCCATCAGCTCTATTAGGCAGTTTCAGAGTCGCATGCTATCGAGTGTGCAGGGCTTTCACTCGAGATGTTGGTCTGCTTCCTACGGATCGTCAAATCTTCTCAAGTCCAGCATGCTCCCTAGAGTCTGTCAGTCTGGGTGGAGATGGAGGGAGCAAGTTCGTGGGCATGGGCATGGGCACTCGCATGGGGAGGAGGATGGCCCCACAGTCAAAGTGACTTTTATCTATGATAAGGATGGGAAGAGCGTCACCGTTGACGGGAAGGTCGGCATGAACATCCTGCGCGTTGCGCAGGCACACGAGGTGGAGCTGGAAGGAGCATGCGAATGCTCCCTCGCATGCTCCACGTGCCATGTTGTCCTTGAGGACTCCCTCTTCAACAAGCTCGAAGAGCCGTCGGATGACGAGGCTGACATGTTGGACCTTGCCTTCGGCCTCACTGAAACCAGCAGGCTGGGCTGTCAGATCATTCTCACCGAGGATATGGAGGGCAGTGTATTCAGGATCCCGTCCGCTACGAGGAACATGTATGTAGATGGCCACGTCCCGAAACCACACTAGCCCCTACGGAAGTCAGGAGACGATAATGAGGCGTGTAGGAATGATCGGAACCCCATCCCCTTCGTCTTCAAGTTTACAAATATTTATTGTTATCAAAAATCCTTCGAGAACAATCATTGTCAAGAGCGGTGCAAGTCAGTGAGGCCATGAGCTCAAGCCCACATCCTGACAGTCTTGTCGCTCGAGCAACTGGCGATGAAGCTTGCATCCTTTCCGAATGCTGCCCCGACCACATCGTTTCCATGTCCATTCAACTCCACAACATCATTCCATGACTTTGCCAGCCAAACCTGCCGTAATGTTGAGATGCTGCGGGGAAACAAGGAAACTCGGCTCTACCTTGACGGATGATCCAGCTCCGACCAGGTATGTTCCACTGAAGCCATTGTCAGCGGACTTGACTAACTCAGTTACTTGCTACACCTGTAATCAAATCGTGCGTCCTTCCAGTTGCCCTCGAACACTTTGGCAGGCTGAGCATCGGCTCCCTGAGAACGCAGTCAGCATGCAACCTAGCTTGTAGCGAATGAACTAGCCTGCTTTGCTAGCTTTCGGAGATCCCAAACCTTGAGGCCATCAGCGCCAGTAGTGGCCATGTAGTAGCCGTTCTCTGAGAAGGAAATGCTTCCCACCTGGCACACTGTAAGGGCGGGCTTGTGGGGATGTCGACAGGGCAGACTCACCGCTCCACCGGAAGTAGCTTTGAATGAGACCACATTGGATATCGTTTTGATGTCCCAAACTTTCACCATTGAGTCTATCGTGCCGGTACCAAGAATCAGACCATCAGGGTGAAGTTGTGCAGCACTGCAAACAGAACATTCAGTTGGAATGTGGAAGTTCAAATGGCTGAAGATGAAGAGAGAGATCCAAAACACTGATGAATGCAAGTAATGACTATGAAATTGAAGTCAACCTGTATCCTCCTGCTGCATCCTTGTCCGGAACAACCTATGAAATAAATCATCAGAAAGAAATTCCGAGTTTGATTTCACTGAGAATCAGCTCACCTGGCAGCAAGCAGCAGTTGTGAGATCATAAAATGCCCATGATTTGTCTGCAGATGCAGAAACAAGATAATCCCCGGTAGCATGAAGAGAAATTCCATTGATTTCTCCCTTGTGATTGTTGAAAGTACAGAGCTCCTTTCCATCTGTGAGATGTTGGGCTCAGCTGAAGTGAATTTCAATAGATCAATGCTATCGAGATCACCTGTTTTCCAAACCTTGACAACCTCTGATGAAGAGAATACCATATCCTGATCCAAACATCACAAGAGCGCATAACGCAAGAAAGAAGCCTGACCGACGCTTGGTGAAAAAGAACACGGCGTACTGGTTTGGTGTGCCCGGACATCGTTGCAACAACCTTGCCAGTGGCACTATCTGAGACAATCACCTTCGAATCCATTCCTCCAGTAACAATCGTATTGTTCTCCAGATGCACATCAATACAAGAAGGAGCAGATCCCTTGTGAACAGCCTTGTTGAGTTTCTCCTTGAATCCCTTGAGAGTGTCCTCTGAAGCGAGGTTCGGTGAGATAGCACGCTTCTTCCTACCCTTGGATAGTTCAGCCGATTTTTCGGTCATTCGCTCCTTGATCGCTTCGCTGATAGTGGGTCCTGAGTCCACCTCCATGCTCTCTGCCGCGGCTGGAACGGCGACTCGTCCAGCCTTCAGAGCCGCGATGGCCTCGTCGCGCTCTTTCAACGCCTCATCTCTCTCCTTCAAAACTTTGGCGATAACGCGGCATGCAGCATCGTGCTGATAGAGGGTGTGGGACAGCTCAGCTCTCACCTTGTCGAGCTCCTTCCTCAGCAGATGCGTCTCGACTGCCTGGGAATCCCACTCGTTCTGCATCATCTCGATCATCGACGGCAGGCTGGTAGAGGATGGAGGCTTCGGCTTCACAGAGCTGTTGGCTGGGTAGCAGAAAAGGTGTCAGAAGGCTGATTCAACCCCCCATCTGCCCCTTGCAGGAAGAATCCCTAGCTCCCACTCACCTTTGACTTGGATCAAGTCCTCTGCGCTCATCGCTTGCCCAGTGATCGGGCAGGACTGAGTTTCGAGAAGGAACTTGAGGATAGTGCTCTTCTCGAAGACATGTCCAGTCTTCTTCGACACCATCGGCGTCATCGCGCAAGCGCCGCTCATCGCACAAACAAGCCCTGCCATTGCCGCGGCACGCTCGCCCTTCACCACCGCTACCCCCTGGACGAGGGAGGTATGATGGGGTACATTTCAGCCTGATTCGAAGGGGGGTGGGGTACTATTTCTGTGGGGTGGTGATATTTGATTGTGGTGAAATGGTGGGTACAAATTGGTTCATGTAGGGGGTACAGAAGTTCGTCGCAGGGGTATGTCCCTGCACCCGGATCTCAAGGGGTACACCACATTGCGGATCATCTGAAGGAATTCAAAATTGTGCTCTTAAATTTAATTTTCGTCTATCCAATTCACAAATCTGCCCTGCATGGAAGTCCGCCTCGGTGGCAATCCCGAAAAATGTCGGGCGAAGGATTTGAGGGAGGAGAAAAGGAGAGGGGAACTGCTCGAACATGCTTAAACGTTGAGAGAGGTGAGGAATGCTGAAGAGAGAGGGTTGATCGGTAGTGTTGGTAACACTGGACAGACAGAGAAAGGGCTTCGAAGCTCTTGCGAAGCCATGCGATGGAGTAGGAAGGTGACTCGGAAACAAAGCAACGTCCTTGCGAACATTGAGTGAGAGTATGTCTTGTTTGACTTTGTGAGTCTGGGCAAATGAATTGTTATTCGACAGGCCAGGGCAGATGGAGATAGAGGCGAAGGATACGGTCCCTGCGGAGGCATCAGCTATCAACCCTCCTCAGGTTGAGGAGGGCACAGGGGGTAACAGGGAAAGAGAGGGTTCTCACGACGAAATGCGATGGGAGATCCATGAAGCGAAAGAGGACGCAGGATCTGTTGTTGAGAAAACATTGGCATTGCTGGTCAAATCGAGTGAAGCGGCTAAGGCGGGGCGAGATTGTAAGTTTGTTGACAAGAGTAGGTGCGATGATTGAAGGATTGCATCAGATGCTGACATCATCGACACAATGCAACAGGCAGTGGACTGTCTCTGCAGCATCAAGGGCGAATCATCCCAGCAGTCCCTTGTGCAAGCTGTGATGAGGTCCCTTGCGCTGCGAGGGTGTGGGGACGGCGCCTCACGCTACATCTTTCACAGAGATGAGGACATTTACTTAGCATGCTGCATGCTGATCGACGTCTGTCTCCATCCTAGTGCTGGAGATCATGACGTGGCGCTGCGTTTCCTTGCCACCATCTTCCAATGGCAGGAAGAGTCCAATGGAGAGAATGACTCGGCGCATCTCGTCGTTTGCAGTCTCCTGCCCTCTATCTTGCTCACGTACTGGGCTGTTCTCAGTGAGGACAGGCATGCTCCCTTGCTCTCAGCACTTGAGGCTCTGCTAGTTGGCATGTACAACTTGGAGGTCCTTGTGCTCAAGAGTTGAGGAAGGACGAGTGAGCGCGACTTCAGGTTCAAGGCAAGGGCTCTGCTGAGTGTTGCGTTCTTCTCTCCAAACTTCCTTCCAGCAAGAGTAGGATGGTTGACATTGAAGTCTTTGATCTGATCCTCCACGTCAGCTGCTGCCCAGTATGACACGATGAGCGATGGCCGCTTGAGCTCGCCGTCCGCGATCTTGTCGGAAAGTGCATTGAAGAGGTGCTGGTGGGATTGTGTGGATGCTGGTGTTTTGACATGTCAGTGTCCGCTAGCATGCTGGCGGATGACGTTGGGGAGAGCGAAGCAAGCTTCCATCAGAAAACGCTGTGCTCGTCTCCTGTCTCTCGTATCGACAACTCCTCCGTGGACTCGAACCCTGTGTTGGAGTTCTGGTTGGGGAGGTTGGTCGGCGTATGAGCTTTTCAGCGAGCTGGGTAACATGCTACCCTGCTCAGATTCGGGGAGTTGAACGATAAACTTCCTGCTCTAGCCCGAAGTCTGCTCGTTGACCTGTGCGTTCTTGCAACTTCCTCCGGTATCAGACACGTCCATGGGCTGCCGGCCATACGAGGTTGATGCCGCAGCAGGTTTCTGCACTGTGCTGAGAGAGATGAAGAAGATACGTCAAGAGCTTCAGGTTCCATTGCACATTAAAGAGCAAGTGCCTCTTGATGGTTTTTAGCAGCAGACAGAATGGGGAGGCAGGAGGGGAGGCGAAGATGATGCGATCAGGAGCCGACCAACCAGAGGCGACTTGTGGGGTGGAGCAGGAGGAGACTTGTGTTTGGATCAGATTAACTTCAATGCATCCTCCCTTCTCTTTGCCAAGGGGCCGCAAGTCTCTCTCCACAAGGATGCAGACCAAGATAAGTCCTATTGCCGTCCTGGCAAGCGAATCCTCCTGGCCTCCCGCGTCTCCCTGGCAATGCTGGCGGTAATTTGCTGACAGAAGTGTTTTCCTCAATCACCGCCACCAACGCCGCGTCGGCGGGGGCAGCAGCAGCAGCAGCAGCAGCAGCAGCAGCAGCAGCAGCAGCCCTCGTCGTCTTCATGCTCCCACTCATTACTCTCTCTCTTCTGCTGTTGCTCAGCTCACGTTCCTGATGTCAACCCGCGCCGATCGCAGGCCCTTGACGTTTTTCTTTTCTCAGCTCCTTCGCAACTTCAGGCTCCAGCATTTCGTCCTCGAGTTTGTATTGGAGGCTTCAGCCGGAGATTTGAAACGCGGAGGCTCACAACCGACGAGTGCCAAAGGCCAGGAAGCCCAGGGCAGAATTTCCCAGCTCGGGGTCAGCTGATGTCTCATACTCGCCGGAAAGTAAGATGACGAGTACCGCAGGAATTCTCTGAGTTTGCCATGCACGTGATCGCGTGCCGGGCTGCACTGGAGATGGACGAGAAGGGTGAGAAGGAGATGGGAGGAGAGGAGAGGAGAGGAGAGGAGAGGAGAGGGAGAGAGCAGAGCAGAGCAGAGCAGAGGGAAGGGGAGAGGAGAGGAGAGGAGAGGAGAGGGAGAGAGGATAACGTGTGAACATTATGACAGTGATGCTGGGTTGCGAGGCGACGAGAGGATATCTATCAAGGTAGTATCAAGTGCTGGAGGGGTATGTGCTATGGAGGGGGGAGGGGGGGGTGAAGGCGACGGGGATGGCATACAAAGGGGAGGCATGCAGGCAGGCGGCAGGCAGGCAGGCAGGCAGGCAGGTGAACAAGACTGACAGCCGAGTGTTTCTGTTGCAGTTTGCCGGATGTCTTGAGAGAATGCCGGCAGGTGTCAGAGAGGAATCCTCTGCCTGACCCTCTCAAGTTCTACTTCTTCAAGAGATGATAGTTCAAGGAAGGACACAGGATTTGACACTCGCCTCCTTGCACTGCCATAGTTGATTACTTGTACTTTATGATGTACACCACACTCCACACATCATCTTACTGTTTGCCACAATCTGGTGCCAAGATTCCAATTATCGCATCCCCGCCCCTTGCTCAGTCCTCTTAACGATTGAATGATCGAACACAACGTGAACACTTGACATCAAACGCCGAACAACTGATCAAAAACAGGAAGAAAAATCGAATCCCAGACCAGAGAACCCAGAAACCAATCCAACAAGATCTGCATGAAAAAGGTTTTTCAGGGTTGAAGGTAGCCCCTGTACGACCGAGAAAGTATCTTGACTGGAATCCATACTCCTGGCATGCAGCGGACATGCTTAACAGCTGCCACTGCAGTTGTTGGCTTTCGCATCTTGCTTGGGCTCGTTGACCTTGATGTTGGCTGATCCACTTGGCTTGTCTTGCTGTTGCTGCTTCGGGAGCTTACGAGCTGCCAACAGATATCAACATACGCAACATCTAAAACAATCATCTTTACCGATCTGGACAAAAAGTTCGTTGACATTTGAGGCAGTCTTGGCTGAAGTTTCCATGAACATAATATTGTTCTCCTCCGCGTACTGCCGGGCTTCATCGGGCTCCACTTTTCGCTTTGAAGCAAGATCCGACTTATTTCCAGCCAGGGCGATGACGATGTTTGGATTTCCCTGACGTTGCAACTCTCTCACCCAACTTTTAGCTCGCGCGAAGGAATCCTGCGAGCCTGGTCAGACTTGAGTCGAGGAGCAACGTCAAATCCTCACAGTGCTGGTGATATCGTACACTACTATCGCTGCCGCCGCGCCTCGATAGTACATGGGAGCCAGACTGTGATATCGCTCCTGCCCCGCTGTATCCCAGATTTCAAATTTCACGGTAGTGTCATTCAAAGCAACTGTCTGGGTGAGAAAAGCAGCTGTAAAGTACAGTCAGGTGAACAGCTACATCTCAAGCATGCACGCTAACCTCCAATGGTGGACTCCTGGTAATCAAAGAATTGACCACGGACGAATCGGAGAACCAGGGATGATTTTCCAACAGCACCTTCACCCAGCAGCACCAATTTAAAGTTGAGTGGACTTTTGTTTTGCGCCGCCATATTTACTGAGAGTTCGCTGTTCGATTGATCCAGAGCAAAAACCGGTGGCAACTTTCGAAATTGCTGATTCGAAATCTACCCTACCACAAATGTCAGCCTGAAGATTTGCAAAGAAATCATCTCTTTGCAAAAAATCATTTATTCTAAAGGATTCATCTTTCATTCCATCAAAATTACTTTCCTCTTATCGTTCGCTACATCAGTACCCAAAAAAATGAAACCAAACAATCGGTTTGTGGTTCGGTCTCAGGGAAGTCCTCACCACGTGACAACACTAGAATGAGAGGAATACTCGTCTAAAGATTTTCTTGCTCTCCACCATCTATCAAAAAGATTCTCATACTCGTTGCATCCAACTTCAGACACAGCATTTTTTCAACCTGAATACGAGTACCGATGCTCATACAATGTCCACCCTCTAGCCATACCGCCACTCCTCTTTTTGTTCTATTCTACTGACAAATCTGAACTTGCCTACCGCACGCACGTCTGTCCCTGTCTCCCCAGGGCCCTCCCACAGCAGCCACACGGCGTCGCAATGGGGCTTGTCCATAGCTTTCCTACAACAGCTACCACAATCTCAACGATCCTACTCCTCAACCTACTGATCGAGAATTTCTAACAAATTCAATTCTCAACTTTCTTGAGAAGGATGCTCCACACACATGTTCAGCAGCTCATTACCCAAGTTTTTCTTGAACTTGTACGGACTAAAAAGACCGAATCGTACCAACAAACCATATGAGTCATCCTTAGGCCATGGTTGGAGCACGGAAACATAGAACTCTCCCGGTGATACAACATGTCCATCTCACTCCCTATTTCCCCTGTCCCATTCTTACTGCTTCCTCGCCGCGTCCTCGCCGCTTCGTCATCAGCTTTACATTGATCCCCATCGCCCATGTTGGATCAATTCCTCTACTTCCTCTTCTCCTGCCATCACTATCTCTTCTTCACGTGATCTAAAAATCATCACCTTGACATGCCAGTCTCTTCTTTATTCTCTTCCTCCTCTCTCATCTCCCCCAACATGCCGCTTCGCCGCGCAAACCACATTGAACATGCCCACTGCTACCCCCATCTTTCCCCCAAAAAGGACCCACCTCTGAATCCATAGTGAGCTGTACCCCCTCTATTGGACCACCCCCACCCACCCCCTTGTCCATAAATGGACCCTCCCAGTTTAAAACAAGATTACCCCCTTCCCTTCGATCCTTCGATCCTTCGATCCCACCAAGAGTACCCCACCCTCTGTCCAAGAATCCACCTGGTTCCTCAAAATATAACCCCACCCCTCGTGGTCTAAATTTGGATCTTCTAGAGAACAATTTAAAATTTAGATAACAGCAGTACCCCACCCACAGACAAGAAAACACCACCGTCTACCTTGCCCACCCCTACCTTGAGAAGCGATCACTTCAAACGACCCCCCTACCCCGGGTGCATCGTGAGATACCACCCCATCGGATTGAGGCACCTTGAGCCTCAAACTTCTACCAGAGGATTTGTACCAGTACTTTACCAGTTGGTACTAATATTTTTATAATTGCTAGATGTTTACAGTATTTCTATCAAAAAGGTTGAATTAAGTTCAGTACATCATTTTTTAGTGTCCATTCGTACCATAGTAGTACTCTGAGTTATCGGTACAGATATATACAGCGTGGTACGCAAATTTCCTTTTAAAAATAACTCGGACTCCGGTGACCGGAGTCCGGGCCCGCCGCCGAGGCTCCCCGGGCCCGTCACCGTCACTGAGTCAGCCAGTGCCCGCGGCGAGAGTCCGAGTCCCGGCCCGGGCCCGGGCCGGGCTCTGAACCAGTGAAGAGGGGCAGAGGCCGGGAGGTTCAGCCTGCAGCCTGGCCCGGTGGAGACTCGCGGCCTCGGACTCCGGGAGTGAGGGCTGTTTCTCTGACTCGGCGTCCGGAACTTATCAGTCAAGTTTCTCGCCGCCGTCTCAGTTCGTGACGGCGGCCAGGGGCGGGACGCCGGGCCCGGCTCACTGAGGTCGGACGGCCCGCCGATCTGACGGTCTGTCCGATCTGCCATCCAACGGTGATCGGGCACCCCGCCGCTCCGGCCGCGCGGGGCCGCCGGCGGCCCCCGGGGCCGCCGGGCGGCGATCGGACCGTGCACGGTGCCGGGACTCGGGAGGCCGCGGGCTGCAGTGCCCGAGCCTACTGACGGTATAACAGCAAGTGACTCATGGTACCGTAGCCTACCGTACAGTCGTCGACTTGGTATTCGGTCAAGGCGGCTCCCGGTTCAAGCGCCCGCCGGTCCGCCCGGGCCCGGCCGGATCCGATGATGATCGTGAGTCACTGCGAGTCCGAACTTCGCAACTTCCGACTCCCGGCGAAGCACTGGGCCCGGCCCGGCCCTTACTTGGATTCGGTCACGGTTCGAGTCGGGGATGAGGGGTTCCCGTGCTTCGGCTATGGCAGAAAACAGAGAGGCATGCAGGAGGCGGATGGGTTGGGGAGGCAGCAGATTAGTCCTCTTAGCGATCGCTATGCTCCTGGCATCTGCTGAGATCAGCAGCATGCAGGCGAGTGCCAGGGCCGAGGGTGCGCCATGGCGGGATAGGATGGGGATGAAAACGATTTGGAGGCCGAGGCTGCGGGGGGGATCGGATCAGCCTTTGGAGGCTGCGAGAGGGGATCGAGACAGTGGAGACGTGGGATCGACTGCAAAGTCAGATAGAGGAGGAGGAAGGGGGGGGGGAGAGGTGGGAGGAGGAGGAGGAGGAATCTTTACAGTGTTGAATGGTCTAAAAGGGCTCGTGTTGGGGAATAAGGGCAACAATGAGGGGAGCGATGCTTCCTTCTCGTTGAAGCAGGAGGAGGATAACATGTTTGAAGCGCTTCGCACCCAGCAAGACAAGGAGTGCAGCTCAAACATCGCGAGAATGCTTGCTTCCGGATGCTCTCCCAACGCCGTTGAGGCCTCGCGCTGTAACTATGGACCTGTCCACCTTGCAGCTGATCGAGGGCTCTCGCAAACGATCCGCGTCCTATACGAGAACGGCGCCGACATGAACATGCGAGGCAAGCACGGACAGACGCCGCTTCATGTGGCGGCAAGTAGAGGGCAGGAGGATGCTGTCAAGGTGATGCGACCATTCGTTTGCTGTGCCTTAACTTCTCCTTCAAGTATCTCATTTTCGTTTCCTTCATCCCTCTTTCCTAATTCTCTCTTTCTCTTCTTCATCCTTCTTTCCTCATTCTCTCTTTCTTTTCTTCATCCCTCTTCCTCATTCTCTCTTTCTCTTCTCTCCTCCTCTCTTCTTTCAACCATCCTGTCCATGATGGTTGAAATTTACCACTCTCTTTCCCATCGTCTTCTGCTCTCATCTCATCACAGAGTGTCTAACATTGTCGGTGGTGACAAGGTGTTGCTGGGGCTAAAGGCAAAGATAGACGAGAAGGACCACATGGGTTGGACCGCTCTTCATCAGGCCAGCTACTTCGGACATGTTCACATCGTCGAGCTGCTGATACGACATGGGGCAAGCAAGAACGCCACCAGTGTTCAGGGATGGAATGCTGCAGATGTTTGCTGCAAGGGCCTTGGAGAAGAGCAGATGGAGGAAGCTGAGCTAGAGCGAAGAATTTTAACCGTCCTGCCACCTGCCATGAATCGCACCATCGACATACAAGACCAGTTCCGGACTAGAGGAGCGGCGTCGAGGGAGAACCCGAGCAAGAACTCCCTTGAGAAGTTCGCGGAAGGGCGTTCGAGGGATATCTCTTTCAAGGATCGGTTCGCGTCCATCCTGGTGGGCATGCATGATGAGGCCGAGAAGAAGGCTGTGTTTGCAGCCAACATGACGCAAGATATCGATGCCGCCCTCGCCAGGCACAGAGGTGACGGGGCTGAAGCATCCTTGCCTGCGCTGTTCCCTGACGTTCTGGTCAGAAAATGTAAAAGAGAACATAGAGAAGCTGTCGAAGGGGGAAGTTGCAGGCCAGCAGACCACGGGAGGTAGCGAAGTATGTGATGATGACGTTCAAACATGATGTGCAGTTGTAGATGGGAACGACGCGCTGGTATCCAAGGATGATGGGAATCTCTCTCAGACAGCGAGGTTGTCTGATGCTTGTCGGGCGACTTGATGAATGACCTTTGAATCAGTGAGATTCTTCAGAAGATGTTAGAGCAAAACCGAGCGTTCAACCAAGGTTGTAGTCCTCTTCTTTGCTTTCTGCTTCTTCTTGTTCATGTTATGCAATGCAAGATATGTCAGGGCAAGATTCAAGTTCAACGCCGTGAGAACCTTGGTTTTGCACGTCTATCTACTTGTCCTGACAATTGCTGGTCGGCAGAGCACATGCTGAAGGAGCTGAAGAGAAGCCGTCGGTAGTGAGTTGTTCCTCACCGGATGTTCCGAGTCTGACAATCGTCGACAAGACTAACAGCAAGGCGACTTCTTGTGGAGTTGGTCTGTCGGTCAGAGCTGGAGACCGCGGAGAGTGAGTTTGAATCTACACGCCTTGATACTCCCTCGTCGATTGTTTTCTCATCCCTCTGCATCGTGTTGATTGCATACTTCACAACTCACAGGATCCGATAGTTCTCTCATAATTCACAACTCACAGGATCCGATAGTTCTCTTTTACCCACTGCAACTCCCTACCCCCCCAAACCCCAAGTTCTCACATAGCAAGCAGGTATATCATCTCAGCGCTCCTGGCCAACGGCCCGGCAGAGATGTCAAAGGTGATCAAGGTAGGAGACGTGCTGGAAGAGGTAGGAGACAGTGGGAGATCGAGTGTATTACCTGCTGAGACGAGGAGCAAGGTGGACGGAAAGAAGGCAATTATGATCGCCCCCGACGATCTCGTCCGCACCTTCCTCGGGCCTCCCGGCTCCACTCTCAAGATCTCCGTGCGTGACCCCTGGGTGAGGAATGGGAGGAGGGAGTCGCCTGCTGTGATGGGGCAGCAGGACGTTGCAGGCAACAACATTAAGACGGTGGAGCTCGAAAGGAGGATCGTGGATGAAAAGGTGATGGGAAACGCGGGATGTTTATTGGCCTTTTGTTCTGTCCTGTGTTTATTGGCCGTTTGTTCTCTCCTGTGTTTAGATTATGTGTTCTCTGTGATATTGTACAACCTGTGGCACCTTGAAACTAGCCTGAGGTGACTGTCATTGCCTTATCTTGGTGTGACTTGACTTTGACTTGATCCGTCTCGTCTCATCTCCTTATCTCTTCTTTATGACTGCTTCTCCTCACTTCCTGTCTCTCAGTACCAGTATGGACGCATAAGGCTACACGCGCAAGGTACCGCCTGTCTTCCTGTCTCCCCGATCTGATTTGTCCACCAGAAACAAAAGAGACAGAGCAAGAGTTTGGGGAGATGTAAAAACTATCTTCCTGCCCCTGCTCCTGCTCCTGCTCCTGCTCCTGCTCCTCATCCTACCTACGGGCGACTGATCCAAGGAGTGAGGTCGGTTGGGAAGCAGCCGAGCGCGTCTTTGTCGTAGACGTAGGAGGAGGGGACGAGGCGGATGGTGTGGCTGGGAGGAAGACCGCCAATGTCTGCAGCTAGAGTGCCAAATCCTTGACGAGAGTCACTTGAGCAGGGAAAGAGGATGTGAAGGGGGGGGGGGGGGGGGGGGAGGGGAGAGGAGGAGAGGAGAGGAGGGAGAAAAAAAGGGATAGCGGTCCGGGGGATGAGTCGGAGGGAGTGCGGATGGTTTTGAGGCTTAATAGCGAAAAGGAACGGGGGGCGCGGAAAAACCCCCCGAATGACCAGTGCGTCATGACATTATCACATGCTTACCATGGAAGTTATGCTCACGCCCCCGGCACTTGCCATGCGAAAAGGAGGTGCGGAACTCCCCCTTCAGAATACGGAGCTTGCCCGTTGGCCCCCG